CTAATGTCCCCCTTGTCTAGGTCGTTATCCCAGCACGTGCAACCAAGAATGCATCTGACATAATTTGTTGATAAATAGGGTCGACTGAAATAACATATGTGTGCTATAACTGTGTCACTGTTGTAAGGTCGTTGATCATCTACTATCTGGCAACGGTTTCGACAGGCCAGGTAGACTATGCCCGGGATCACTACTGGGTGGGCTATGAGGTTTTGGCTGTTGAAGCTGGTTATTCAAGTGAGCAGGTCAGAGTTAAGACTAAGACATAACAGCATCCGAGGCTGACACATGAAAGTAAGTTAAAGTCTAAATTCCCCGCCATAAGGCGTACTCGGAGTATGGTGTTATTTGATTATAAATCAATTTGATGGCGCTATTTGTTTATAAATCAACCTGATGATGTTATTTGTATATAAATCAATCTGCAATCGGTGAGTGGTGTGTTCAGTATCACGCCTGCGAAATTTATTTTCTTACTGTAATGTTACACTGCGCTTATTCAAAACTGGGTTGACCTGTGAGCTCCAGTATTATAATAAAAATAACAATAAATAAATCAGCGATAAAAACAAACCTGCGAATTTAAATGTCTTGGGTCAATTTTCGTATTAGAAGGAAGAATCGATAGAGAAATCAACATACCGTGCGCAAATCAAGTCACGTATTGGGACAACTAACAACACTTTTGACAGACAGAGGGACACCTTTTTTCTACCAGACAAACCTAATAGATAGTTTTAGCCAGCTTTATTCCACTAGTGTCAAACATGAACACTTCCTATAACTAATGAAAGTAAAATCATAACAGCAGAGAGGAAATTTCTTAGAAGATCTGCTGGAGGTAAAATGACAAAAAAAAAGAAATTAGAAGACTAGGGCTGAAAACAGCCACACAGTTCAATAACCATCAAAGTAGTAGGGGGCGGTAATAGAGCGCGTATTTCGATTAAGCCACCTTCTTTATCCTTAGTAAAAGATGGCGGCCAAAAGTGATTTGTCTGTTCGTGTGGCTGTTCTTTATCCTTAGTAAATATCGATCGGGCAAGCCACCCTCTTTGTCCTTAGTAAATATCGATCGGGTGGCTGATGACGGCACGAGTGCTTGGTTTTAGGGAACGGTATAGGAAATCTACACTTTGTAGGCGCATTATTATCTTCATAACTGCAGGTGACAGGTGGTGTTATATAAAACGGGACAGACAGGGCGGGTGGGGCAGGGGCGACAGGGCGACTAATAGAGTTGGTGTTGGTTTATGGGTTCTGTAATAGACAAAATTAGGAGTGGTTGGTTAGCGGGGGATATTTATAGGTTACAACAAGTTAGGGGATATGAAAAGAGACTGATAGACGGCATTGTCAGGTGGCAGAGGGGAGCCGTTTTAGACTTGCGATAAAGAAACCTAGGAAGGCGGCGTGATGACCGGGGATATATTAGAAAGGGCAGCTTGGGCGTCGGCATCATCATCATCTGTGTCATGGGAGCGAAGGTAGATCGCTCAGAATGTATAATATTTGAAGGTTCTGATTGGTCAGCTGGGTTTCAGTAGTCAGGATATTGACCGCTCAAGGAGTGTTTGAGTTTTAAAAAAATGGTAATTTATAACAAAACAGCGACCCTTGTGACATATTAAGGAGGCCGACCGCTCATGAAGGGTTTGAGTTGAAGTAAAAAGGGGACTCATCGACGGTTGTCAACGGGCTGTTCGACCTACTAGCTCTCTATTTCGAGACGGGACGCAGCAACCGTTGGTTGGGGCACAGCCCCTGCGACCCGTCTCTGTGAAGAAAAAACATCGGGTGACTTTTGTGCGCCAAGGATAGTGATCAGGTTACCCGGCGTCCTCAGTTATCGCCTTGTCAAGACCCGTGAAAGACATGCGACGTCTCGTGAGTCCTTTACGTTGTCTGTCGAGAAAGACATAGCGCCTTTTTGGTACCTAAAATTGCCTCAGCTCCCCTTTGTCGCCTGGTGGCGCCGCCTCTGACCTACAACATAATCCCTCCATGAGCGGTGATATCTAACAATATGACACAACAGTTCTCCTTTTTTACTATAGCTCAACCATATCTGTATGGCCAGAACCTGACACTTTGACACACCTATCGTCCTTTTGCTACTTTTTTTCCCCCTACAACTTAAACTACCACTGAGCACCCAGCCTCCATTAATATATCACAACGGCCGCTTTTTTGTTACCGTTTTCGTTTTTCTCTACAACCTAAACCCTCCCTAACCTATCAATATCCACACTATGACAAGACACCTGTCACCAGTCGTTACTACAGCTTAAAACCTTTCTGCGCGGCCGGCCTTCCTTACCATTGCCATAAAAGTCGCCATTTTACCATAAATTCCCATTTTTACTTCAACTCGAACCCTCAATGATCGGTTGGCATTCGTTGCTTTGACACAAAAGTCCCCTTTTTACTTCAACTCAAACCCTTCATGAGCGGTCGGCCTCCTTAATATGTCACAAGGGTCGCCGTTTTGCTATAAATTACCATTTTGTTTTTTTTAACTCAAACACTCCTTGAGCGGTCAATATCCAATAATATGTCACAACGATCGGAAAGTTTTCCTTTTTACTAAAACTTAAACTATCGACAGCTAACAGTATGACAAGCCGCCCACCCTTCTATTGTACGTTCTCCTTTTTACTATAGCTCAAACCATCACTGAGCAGTCGACCTTCGCTCCCATGACACATATGATGATACTGATGATGGCACTCAAGTCGCCCTTCAGCATATATCCCCGGTCATCAAGCCACCTTTCTAGGTTTCTTTATCTAAACCCTAAAACGCCCCCTCCCCTGCTGCCGGTTGTCACTGCTGCCTATGTCTATTTTCATATCCCCTAACTTGTTTCGTTTTATAACATATATATCCCCCGCTAACAACCCACTCCTAATTTTTTTTTTTTTTTTTTTTTTTTTTTTTTTTTTTTTTTTTGTCTATTACAGAACCCATAAACCAACACCAACCGTTTTAGTCGCCCTGTCGCCCCGGGTCCCTTGCCCCGCCCGCCCCGCTGCTCACCGATATCAGGTAAGCCCCTTCTCTTCTGCCCTTAACACTCTGACAAGACAGCTACCCTTCTGTCGTGTGTCCTCCTTTTAACTACAGCTCAAACCATCCCTTCGATACCATGACACAGATGATGATGATGGCGCTCGAGTCGCCCTTTCTAATATATCCCCGGTCATCATGCCGCCTTCCTAGGTTTCTGAAACGGCTCCCCTCTGCCGCTTTTAACTGTCGTCTATCAGTCTCTTTTATATATCCCCTAACTTGTTGTAACATATAAATATCCCCCGCTAACCAACAACTCCTAATTTTGTCTATTATATAACCCATAAACCAACACCAACTCTATTAGTCGCCCTGGCCTCACCCTTTATATAACACCACCTGTCACCTGCAGTTATGAAGATAATAATGCGCCTACAAAGTATCGATTTCCTATACCTTTCCAATAGGGTCACCTTTTTACTTCAACTCAAACCCTCCATGAGCGGTCGGCCTCCTTAATATGTCACAAGGGTCGCCGTTTTGGTATAAATTACCATTTTGTTTTTATTTTAACTCAAACACCCCTTGAGCGGTCAATATCCTGACTACTGAAACCCAGCTGACCAATCAGAACCTTCGAATTTTATACATTCTGAGCGATCGACCTTCGCTCCCATGACACAGATGATGATGATGCCGACGCCCAAGCTGCCCTTTCTAATATATCCCCGGTCATCACGCCGCCTTCCTAGGTTTCTTTATCGCAAGTCTAAAACGGCTCCCCTCTGCCACCTGACAATGCCGTCTATCAGTCTCTTTTCATATCCCCTAACTTGTTGTAACCTATAAATATCCCCCGCTAACCAACCACTCCTAATTTTGTCTATTACAGAACCCATAAACCAACACCAACTCTATTAGTCGCCCTGTCGCCCCTGCCCCACCCGCCCTGCCTGCCCCGTTTTATATAACACCACCTGTCACCTGCAGTTATGAAGATAATAATGCGCCTACAAAGTGTCGATTTCCTATACCTTTCCCTAAAACCAAGCACTCGTGCCGTCATCAGCCACCCGATCGATATTTACTAAGGACAAAGAGGGTGGCTTGCCCGATTGATATTTACTAAGGATAAAGAACAGCCACACGAACAGACCAATCACTTTTGACCGCCATCTTTTACTAAGGATAAAGAAGGAGGCTTAATCGAAATACGCGCTCTATTACCGCCCCCTACTGTTCATCAACACATTAGACTGTTTGGCCATCTGAAAAGAATGCCCTGATACCAACATATAATGAAGCACAAAATGTGAATCATTTTAAAGGAAATGCCCAAGACTGATGTGATCTTACTTTATTTTAGTTGAAAAGATTCACTTGTGTGTTGCACTATGTAACATTGGACCGAAGATGTATCCCAGAGATAAAGAACAGAATAGGAGAGACCAAAACTGCATTTTATAAATTGAAGAACATTTTACGCAATAAATCCATGTTACTGGAGGCTAGGAAAAAAAAAATACTCGCATACTTGAGGCATCAGAGATGTGGTTTAACAGAAGAATCCTTTGGACAGCCGAAAAGAGCAACTCGGATGTTTTGAAAGTGAACAGGGCTTAAAGACAACTTATCACAAAATACCGGAAAGAGACTGTCGTATCATTTTATAAGAAAGAGGAAACTAGAACACGTAAGACACAGAGTGAAGATTTTTGACAGTCATTCGCCATGACATGGAGGGGTGTCAACACATAAACTGATACATGCTGTCAAAGATCGCATGCCAGTTAGCAAAGCACCTGACAATGCTGATTATAAATTGATGTAAATATTACATATTGTGCAATATTTTGATTGTGTCCTCATCAGTGACATTCACATTCTTGTGATTTCTATGTCACTTTTGCAATTATTGTCTACGACATGTCCATGACAGGAAACGCGTCCCTTATGTTGCTGATGATTAATTTCGTTAACTTTCAGATATGTCTGTAAATCCTAACAGCAACGGAATAATCCAACATCCAAACAAATCCACGACATCTAGATGTTCTTCAGTGACAGCTCTTTGTTCCAAATGCTTTCGACCACTGTTAGCATCTTCACATCCGTTGCCAGAGAATCCGTCAATCCCAAGACAGATCGGGCAGTGGTTTTTCTTCCCGCCCTCTGGAAAAGTGGCTGCAGTTCTGTTAGCATGTGTGCTGTTTGCTTCGTGGTGGGCGGTCCTCATATCCATAAGCAAGACTGAGGCCCTGCCTGGGGGCAGTTTGTTTCCGATGCTAATTCTGTTCATAGGATCTTGGTGCGGTGGATATATCCTCAGGCCGACTCCGCTTCCCCCGCTCCTGGGGATGCTGATAGTTGGAGGTTTGCTTGGGAACATACCTGGGATAGACGTGGCTCGGCAGATCAAGCCCATTTGGTCTTCTACGGCAAGGTCTGTATTTTACTTTCTTTCTGCAGTATCATCGTCCTCATGTACAATGCACACACACACACACACACACAGAGAGAGGGAGAGAGAGAGAGAGAGAGAGAGAGAGAGAGAGAGAGAATATCTGGCACTGATGACGGGTTTTGAGGTCATGCATCTTTCCTGTGGCAAGCTATGGGCGTGAAATATGGGCTCTTAGCTACTGGAGAAGAAAAACAATTCGGAGCTGTTGAGTTGAAATGTTCCAGAATATTTTCAGAATACCGTGGATCAAGAGGAATTCCTCAATGCAACTTGTCCCGAGAAGCTGAGGTATATAAGCCATGTTAAATAGCTTGTTGGCCTTAAAAAAACGGTGATAGTCCTTTTCTCTAATCCAGATCTGCTTTTCAACGTCGATTTTTGAAGAGACAGCGCTTGTGAGCCTTGGTATTTACTACAATAATGCTGGTAATGCCTCGGGTATTCCATTTATCCGTATTCGCGAGTGCCGCCACTAGGTCTTCTTCCATTGTGGCTAAGTGACATTGTTCTCTGTTGTGCACTATCTAGTGGAAATCTTGATGTGTTCTCTATCGTGCACTATCTAGTGGAAATCTTGATGTGTTCTCTATGGTGCACTATCTAGTGGAAATCTTGATGTGTTCTCTATCGTGCACTACCTAGTGGAAATCTTGATGTGTTCTCTATGGTGCACTATCTAGTGGAAATCTTGATGTGTTCTCTTTGGTGCACTATCTGGTGGAAATCTTGGTGTGTTCTCTATGGTGCACCATCTGGTGTAAATCTTGATGTGTTCTCTATGGTGCACTATCTAGTGGAAATCTTGATGTGTTCTCTTTGGTGCACTATCTGGTGGAAATCTTGGTGTGTTCTCTATGGTGCACTATCTGGTGGAAATCTTGATGTGTTCTCTATGGTGCACTATCTAGTGGAAATCTTGATGTGTTCTCTTTGGTGCACTATCTGGTGGAAATCTTGGTGTGTTCTCTATCGTGCACTATCTGGTGGAAATCTTGAAGCATGTTAAGATGTTTTTATCATGACAACAGATCACATTTCAACAAAGAAGACGCAAACAATAGATTGCACAATTTATTGCCTGGCATATTTCGCTGTATCTCGCCAGGTGCATACTACAGGAACAATTACATTACTGAAGCAAATAAGTGAATCCTTTAAAACAGAAGTACAATTTCAACAACGACCAAACATGACTGCTTATTTTTACCAGGTCAGTCGTAAAGAAAGAACCATCTCTTTCAGTTGATTTCACATGATCTCTTTCACAATTTCATTTGATCTGTTGTCTCTTTTGTAATTTATTGCTGGTTCCGTCCCAACTTGTTTCATCATATCGTCATTTCTGATCCTGTGTCTTCTTATTACAGCTACAATTCGCCATGGACTTTTCATCTCTGCCCTTTCAATATTCAGTGCTCTTTTTGGTGACATCTGCTCTAGCGAAGTTGGTTAAACCTGATTTTCGCGGCGGCCGGGTGACGAACTCCTTGTGGTCCGGGTTCACTCCCGGGGGTAGGCAGAAAAGCCACATTTCTCCCAGATTAACGGTACCTATAATGGAATCAATGCCGAAGGGTTGCGATATCCATAGTACCGAGCCAAAGGGTTTACAACTCATGGTTTCTGGATACGTTGAAAAAAAAAAAAAACATGTTTGTTCTCAATATTGGTGACATCTGTTACATGTTTGTTCTCAATATTGGTGACATCTGTTACATGTTTGTTCTCAATATTGGTGACATCTGTTACATGTTTGTTCTCAATATTAGTGACATCTGTTACATGTTTGTTCTCAATATTGGTGTCATCTGTTACATGTTTGTTCTCAATATTGGTGACATATGTCTATAACCTTCATCATCCCCTTGTGGGATGCAGTTTTTCGTTATATTGAATCCTTACTCTGGCTCTTGCCAGGAGCCGCAATATCGTCATCATCATCATCATGTAGCAGGTCCTTTGCAGAACGTCGCTCTCATCACAGTCTGCCTGTAAGAAACTCGGTCTCTTGCCAGTTCTCCCGCCTCATGAACTTTCACACTCAAGGAGTCACTTATATCCTGTGCCCATCTTCGTGTCGGTCGGCCCCTGCCCCTCCTTCCTGGTACCATGCCATTCTGCTATACATTTTTCCAATCCGTAGTGGCGCCTGATATGACCAAAATATTTCAGCTTCCGAGAAAGGATGCTGTTTATTAGCCAATCTTCCTTGATGTTCAGATCTTTTAAGATGTCAATATTTCTCATCTTCTTTGTCCAAGATATTCTGAGAATCTTTCTATAGCATTTCAGCTCAAAAGCCCCTATTCTCTTTCTTAAGGACTGAGAGATAGTCCACGACTCACAACCGTATGTAGCCACAGGGTAGATGCATGCTCTCAAAATTCTAATTTGTATCTCCTTGCTGGCGCTTAACCATAGACTTTTAAGGCTGTTCAATCTTTGCATTGCTATGGCCATCCTCCTTTTAATTTCTGTCAAACAGTCTCCATTTGTGTTTAGTATAGAGCCTAGATATTCAAAGTTTGTGACATTTTCAATTTCTTCATTATTTATTGTTATTTTGCGGTGACAGCCAGTTTTATCTGTGGACATTATTTTCGTTTTCTTTAAATTCAAGAACTAATTTTGATCTTTACTGTGCTTTTGGACGGACATTTCTGGCTTCCGTGATGAGTTTCTTGGGATAGTAATGTGGTAGTTTCCCCTTGCTTTCCACATCCACACGGCTTTAGACCATGTCCTCAGCCTTCAGCAACCTTTTCGATTGCTAGGTCAAGTGAGTGCCCTGCTCTGTGATGCTCCTGCTAACAGCAGAGGGCACCCCAGAGGTGTCCACTTATCATCGCGGTTACTCGGTCCCCATAGCTGCGTTGGCCACACCGCACTGTGTTTACCGTCCTCTACCGCGTGGAGGTGCCGTTGGGGTTTTCCTTTTCCTGAGTCTTGAGACAAGAATGGCATTTCCCAAAACTCTCCAGTACTTTGACTGACTTTCTACCCCACTAGGACATCACACAAGCGATAAACACCCGATGATACAAAGTGCCAGCATGTGGATGAGGATCGCCGTTTAGAGGTCCCAGAAACCGTGTTCAGACAACTGGCCATTTTTATAGCCTGCCTATATTGCGGCCCCTGGCAAAAGCCAGAGTGGGGCTTCAAATAACAAAAAATTTCGTCCTAAAAAAGACGAAGCACGTATATGAATACCAATAACCAGTAATTTCAGAGGACGACCGCAATATAGCCCGGCCAATAATATGGGCTAATGGCTGAACGCTATTTCTGGAACCTCTCCACGGGTGATCCTCATCCACACGGTGGTACTTTGTGTTATTGGGTGTTTATCGCTCCGTGTGATTTCCTGGTGGGGTAAAATGTACTGCTACTGCTACACCTGTCTACCGATTTGATGATGATGACGCTAAACCCAACCAGGACCGCACAACGAGCGATAAACACCCCATCATACCAAGAGCCACCATTCGGATGAGGATCACACGGGACAGGTGCCGGAAACCGCCATCAACCAATAAGTTGGGTTAAATTAGGGCCCCCCAGCAACAGTCAGTGTTGGGCTTCAAAGCAGCAACAAAGATGGCGTCCGACATTGTGACGCAAATCTAAATAATGTAATGTTTTGATTTGTTTCATTACATTTGTGATCTATCTCCGTTTTGATTTGTTTTATTACATTTGTGATCTATCTCCGCTTCAATTTTTCTTTGTATTTTATGCTCCCTATATATCTGATGTTTGCTTGAATTTTTTTGTTTTCTATGCGTATCTTTATTGGTGGTTCTTTTCCAGACAATTACAAGATTTTAAAATTATGTGGTACCAACGGTCTTTTTGTAAGGGTAATAATCGATTTTGATGAAAGACAGAATCGAATATCACCCGTTATAATTGTCTCTCTTCGGCCTGAAGCCTTTCACACGCTAAGAAAATCTCAATCTGAAGACTAACTGGGAAAATCTCAAAGACCCCTTTTAACCTCCGAAAAAGTTATAATTGGTGCACATGTAATGGACACACCAGCCAGGTTAACCTGCAGTCTTGAATGGGCAAGGAAGACACACATGAAATAGAATATGAAAAACAAGAAGTGTTTTCGTCCCCATGTGGGATGCAATTTTTAATTATTTGAAGCCCACACTGGCTTTTGCTGGGGGCCCTGAATATAGCCGGGCCATAAATATGGCCTGACGGCTGAAAGGGGTTTCTGGGAGATCTCCACGGGTGATCCTCATCCGCATGGTGGTACATTGTGTCACCGAGTGTTTATCGCCTGTGTGATTATTATTTTTTTTTGGGGGGGGGGGGTACAGTTTACATACATACATACAAAAACAAGAAAAAATCTGACAAATAGGCCTAATGGCAGCAAATATTTTACTTCTCTGATTATAATTACGAAATCTCTATGCTATTAAGACATAGCCTATACATACGGTGACTAATTAGGGGTGCTTTCTTTAAAGGCGGAGTGCATCTGTTTGAGGTTCGAGGAACCGACAGTCGGCACACAAATAAGCCAGATCTGTAAAACTGATGTGCAAGCAAAAATCTCCAGGTATGGAACGAACAGCCAGCACTTTCCGAGATTACAGCCGGGGAACGCTAAAAAGACAAGTAAACACCTATATAAATATACAACACATTTATTAATTACTGTGCTAATTTTTCCAGTTACAAACCATCTACACCAGCAACATTTTAATGACGACCAACAACCTAATTCGCATGAACGATACGTTTTCATCAACAGAAACATCGCTCTAACCGTGATTCTGACACGAGCTGGCCTTGGCCTTGATCCTGTGGCCTTGAAGCGTTTGTCCTTTGTGGTGCTGCGACTTGCCTTCTGTCCCAGCATAGCAGAGGTCACAGTGGACGCTGTCGCTGCCCGGTTTATTCTAGATCTGCCCTGGACTTGGGCATTCATGCTGGCGTAAGTTCTTCTGCGTCAATACACCTTTTTGGTACCTTCGGATTATTCTGTGGTCATTAGTTTTTACTCAGGTTTTTCTGTGTCGCATAGGAATTACATAGGAGGAAAATACAGACAGTGAAGAAATCAGTGAACTTCTCTTTGCAAACGATCAATGTATAAGACACTACCAAGAACAGAATTTACAACATCATAACAGCTTACATCAAACCTGCACAAAGTAGGGTATGAGAATGAGCATCGCGATAACCGAGGCAATGAGGATAGGCAGGTAAAGTAATATCCTGAACGTTACTACAATCAAACAATTAGAATTCAAATATTTAGGAAGCATATTTCCGGAGGATAGAGACACGATAGAGAGAAGCCAGAGTACAGAAGGCAAATGCTGTCACCTACCAATTAGCCCCACTGCTTAGACACCCAAATATCTCTCTTCCAGAAAAACAGCAAATGATTATTAGTCATCTCTACTGCATGCTTTCAGTGCCCACCATGAGCAATGAATAGGGCACTAGAGCATAAGATAATTAAATGTGAAATGAGATGTATCCGTATTTAGGACAAAGAGATATTCAAATATCTAGGCTCCTTTATAACACTCGATGAAAGATGTATCATAGAGATAAAGAACAGAATAGGACAGGCCAGAACTGCCTTTTATAAAATGAAGAACATTCTTTGCAATAAATTCAGGACACTGGAGGTTGTGAAAAGGGTTCTCACATGATATATATAACAAGTTTTAACATACGAATGTGAATCAATTAATGTGACAATTAATAAACAAGCTGATCAATTTCTTGAGGCCTCAGACATGTGGTTTTACAGAAGGATCCTTAGAATTCATTGGACAGCTAAGAAGAACAACCCAGATGTTTTGAAAGAGGCGAGGGCTCGAAAACACCTCATTATAAACATCAGAAAGAGACATTCTTCATTTTTTTGTCATTTTATGAGAAGAAGAAATCTGGAACAGGTTGTGACCACTGGAAATATCTGTGAAAAGAGAGACAGAGGAAAGCAGTGTAAAAAGATTCTTGTCAGCCTTTTGTCATGGCATCAGGGATTTCAACACACGAACTGATACACGCAGTTGTGGATCTCAGATCGTGGAGAAGCATGTTCGCTCACGCCAGTCGGCAAGGCATTTGATGATGATGATTATGATTATGATGATAATGATGATGATGATGATGATTTATACCATGGAATACATTAAGTTTCCATGTACAGTGGAACTTCAGTATTCGTTCACGTCAGTTTTCGTCTTTAAAAATCCTTCCCTTTTCTCATTGAAATTTGTGTTTGACATACGCCCGAAATTTCAATATTCATCGCTCCACTTAGTGGCTGTGGGGCCATCAGAAAGGCCAGGATTTACCTCGGCAAAACATTGCAGATTCCGTAGCATGCTTCGTTAAATTCCGCGGCTAGCTGCAGTGTTGCATTGCAATACCATAATTCGAATTCGTAACCGTAGATACACATTTCCTCAAGTATAAGACGATCCCATGCATACGACGCACCCTAATTTCGGGACGAGAATTGTAGAAAAATACTAACAATATAACATACAGTTTACAACCACTGTATAAGACGCACACTGTTTTCAGACCCTAAATTTTTGGAGAATAAAGTGCATCTTATATTTCGTACGGTAACAGTAAGTAAAGATCCCTTTTCACGCCTCTAAGCGTATGGGGCAAATGGGAAAGCGCACATATTTTACAGACCGTCGGCACTAGATGGGTAAAGTGTTCAGCATTACGCCAGCCGTCTTTACTTCCCCAGAACAGCCATACTGGTACACATCTTAGGCTTGGTCGACCTGCGACGCCCCATACTATGATAAAAATAACGATCTCGGTACGTTTGAATCACGGCCATCTTTAGATATAAATAATTAGAGAAGGGCGTGGTTTGAATTACGAGTCGGACTCGCAACGCCTAAGCCGCGGACGCCTCGTATTTGGTGCGGTCAATTTATTATTTATTTATTTGTTAGTGAGTCGGCGTCTGTGGCTTAGGCGTTGCGAACGTGCTTCGTAATGTCGGGGTACCTGGTTCGATCCCTGCTGCAGACGGTTTGTCTTGCGATGGTTTCGACCGTGGTACCGAGAGCCGACCGTCCAGTGAGCAATGGCAAACTTCTGGACGTAAATTTGCCTAGAAGAACCACAACAGCAAAAAGGTGCTGCGGTTGGTTCTGCAACGTGCTGTAAAGGATACGCAAAAAAAATTATTAGTGAAGAAAAACGGCACTGTAAGCTCTCATATTTTTTTGGTGACAGAGAATACCGCATTGGTGACAGCACAGATCCGTGTTACAGAAACAGCATCCACTCTAACTTTAATGTGAGAAGCTCTTGGGCTTTTACGGCGCAGGCTGGAGTTAGAATTGTGAAGCAAGATTCTGGTCCTGTTGCCTTGACCACATGATTATGGAGGTCATGGCAGTGACCAAAGCAATAACATGGCTGGAGACACAGACCTTGTCCCGAGCATGATTTCTCGTTGACTCAATGAGTATGCTCAGGAAGATAGAGAAAGGCTGGATGTGAAGACAGTGGGTGGAGTCTCTATAGCGGTCTGGGGTGACACATTTTAATTTCATATTTATGTCAGGGTATGCAGACGTGCAAGGAAATGAGCAAGCTGATCGGCTTGAAAACTCGTTTGATGTTGGTTTTTTTTTTTTTTTTTTTTAAATATTCCATCTCCACATAGGAACTGATTAATGATGAATGTTGGAATTCCACTGTATGCGATAATAAACGTATTACCAAGTCATTACAAGAATAACTCCAGCTGTTATTATACGTGTTCTTCGGAAGCTGAGTCATCATGAGCACAGCTGGGAGTACGCTTCTGGTAATGACGTTGGTGATACATTTATGTTGCTATGCATGAAATTTAGTTATACTTGCCGTCCTTTTAAGGACGAAATATTTTATTATTTGAAGCCCTACTCTGGTTCTCCTCCTTTCCAACAGCTTAAAGGGAATCGAAAATTTAATATTGTCTGTCCAAAAGCACAGTGAAGATCAAAATCTGTTCTTGAATTTAAAGAAAACGAAAATAATGTCCACAGATAAAATTGGCTGTCACCGCAAAATAACAATAAATGATGGAGAAATTGAAAATGTCACATATTTTGAATATCTAGGCTCTATAATAAACAACAATGGAGACTGTTTGACAGAAATTAAAAGGATGATGGCCATAGCAATGCAAAGATTGAACAGCCTTAAAAGTCTATGGTTAAGCACCAGCAAGGAGATACAAATTCGAATTTTGAGAGCATGCATCTTCCCTGTGGCTACATACGGATGTGAATCGTGGACTATCTCTCAGTCCTTAAGAAAGAGAATAGGGGCTTTTGAGCTGAAATGCTATAGAAAGATTCTCAGAATATCTTGGACAAAGAAGAGGAGAAATATTGACATCTAAAAGATCTGAACATCAAGGAAGATTGGCTAATAAACAGCATTCTTTCTCGAAAGCTGAAATATTTTGGTCATATCAAGCGCCACAACGGATTGGAAAAAAAAACTATAGCAGAAGGCATGGTACCAGGACGGAGGGGTAGGGGCCGACCGACACGAAGATGGGCACAGAATATAAGTGACTCCTTGAGTACGAAAGTATATGAGGCAGGAGAACTGGCGAGAGACCGAGTTTCTTTCAGGCAGACTGTGATGAGAGCGACGTTCTGCAAAGGACCTGCTACATGATGATGATGATGACTCTGGTTCTTGCCCAGGGGCCGCAATATAGCCTAATGGCTGAACGCGGTTTCTGGGACCTCTCCACTGTGATCTTCATCAATGTGGTGGCACATTGTGTCATCGGGTGTGTATCGCTTGTCTGATGTCCTGGTGGGGTAGAAAGTCAGTCGGTCGGAAACTTACAGGAAAACTGGTATTATAACTTTCGTCATCCCCCGTTTTCGTTATTTTAAAGCCCCCCCCCCCCTTCTCCTTGGCTGTTGCGAGGGACCACAATTATAACCTTATGGTTGAACGCGGTTTCTGGGACCTCTCCACGGGTGATCCTCATCCACACGGTGGCACTTTGTGTCACCGGGTGTTTATCGCTCTGTGTGGTGCCCTGGTGAGGTTAAATTTACGTACCCACACCCGGTATTTTCTCCACCTAGTCTACAGTTGTTACCACGGCCTTTTCAGCTTTTAATAGGCCAACTAGGTCAACGGAAATTCTCGTTTTTGTGAAAGTATTAAAGGGTTGTCTGTGTTCATCATTTTTTTATTTATTAGATTTATACACAAGTTAAACTACAGGTTAAATCATTTGTAACACATTGTGTTAAATAAATTATAATTTGGAAGACAGATAAGTGTGCTATTAGAGTATAATAATAATAATAATAATAATAATAATAATAATAATAATAATAATAATAATAATAATAATAATAATAATAATAATAATAATAATAATAATAATAATAATAAATATTGTTGCCATTGGTCATGGTTTTTACCATTGTTTTCATTTTATCCTCAGCTTTGTTTTGTCTGTTGTCTCCCCGGCGGTTGTTGTGCCTTCATTGTTAGGATTGTCTGAACGAGGTTACGGACTGAATAAAGGTATTCCAACACTGGTCATTGCAGCATGTTCCTTGGACGCAGTCCTCGCCATTACCGGCTTCGGGGTGATGCTGGGTATCAGTTTCTCATCAGGTAAAGTTCTTTAAGACTTTGATGAAATGTTGAGAGCAAGAATGGTGGCCACTGAGACCATAGAGTGGTCACATTAAATATATTAATATTATGTATACACTGGACTAAAAGTAGCCAGTGCTACCCATCCAGAGATGGACTGAAAACTGGTTCCTCTCCACGAGTGTAACGGCAAAAGTTGAAGTCGATAAATCTGATGCTGTGAATTAAATCAGTACGTCTACCTACACAATACAGAAAAACACATCGCAGCTTTGTTATGACAACACTTTACCCACCCAAAACAGTAGAGTGCAACAGTTAAAACTTGGTGTAGCCGTTAAGGGTAATTTATTTATAACACAGAAGTTTGAAGGGGATATCTGGGTTTTGTCGCATTGGACTGACATCCAAGATTACCTCGGATGCAGTAGGATCAAAACTGTGGGTAGCAGCCTCGACTGGAAAAAGGGCCTTGCCAACTGCGTGGGCTGTGATGCCTCTGCACAACTTGCCATTTCCAACAAGATTCATCAGTTCAGGTGCTGATACTCTTCCATGCCTCTCTTCCCTTGAACTTTCTAGCTGCCATGACAACTATTATCTAGTTTTCTCTTTCCTACGATGTTTCTATGGAATGGAGTGTCTGTTTCTGATGCGAACACAATCTTTCTCAATTTTTCTTATTGACCATGATTCACTTCTATATAACAGATTGCCATTAAACGGCAATTAAGAACTCCCTTTCTCGACTCAATTTTGAAAAACAGATTTCCCGTGTGGATTTCAGTGTCCTTTTATTTAAGGGGGAAAAGAATACGCACACTGTCCCTTTAAACGCATGTCGTAAAGGACGGCTAATGAAACATTTGCTAACATTTGATATATTGAGCCGACAGGAGTAAATAAAGCAACCAAGATGTCAACAAGAAGAACACAATGTACCAACCGCTCCTTTAAAGCCGAATGCGGAAAAAGAAAGGGACAAAGACAAACTGCATCCCCTTATTTCTTTGTTAAGCGGTAACACTGCTCTTGTGTATTTTTTTGTAATGAGTAAATATTATCTTGAAAATGTCTTTGAAAATATTATGCTTACCAAGTGTCCTTGCAGGCGATCTTGTGTGGACAGTGTTCAAAGGGCCCCTGGAAGCTCTGGTAGGGGTTGCTTTTGGGTTATTCTATGGAGTCCTGCTGTGGTACTTACCACAGAAATCAAGTGTGAGTTGTTTCGCGTCTTCGTTAGTCATAGTTGTTGCTTTTTCCCTCTCGTGGGTGTGCCGTTTAACACGAGAATTAAAACTCATCTTCCTGGATGCAATATTTAGAGACAGCTGTGGGGTATATGTATGCGTATATATCATTCATTTCCTAATGTTTTCCTTATACTTGTATGGCTAACTACCTCTTGCTCTCTTGTTTTCATGTTTTCTCTCATGTGTGGTGTTTATTCATGGAGAAGAATATTATAACTGGAAATTTAAAAAATGTAGAACAACATTGAATACCATTGACAGAAGAGCAGCAAATGTGTAGGATGGAGATCACTTGAGAATGATTTGTGAAAGACGATATGCCAACAGCGACGTGGATTGTATGGATATAGAGGAGACAGGTAATTAGTAACAGGTAGTAGCAGTCACAACATTCAGCAAAAGAGTTGCTCCAAATTTGCTCCGTTCCTGTGCCAATGAAAACTATATAGAATGCCCATCACGGGCCCTTCTGAAATAATCAACACGGTTAGTAGTCTCGGAATAACCAATAGCATACACACGCATTAAATGCAAAAGTCAGAATTGCTATCACAAACATGCCAATATTAGATAGGTAGTTATCGAAAAGTCGGCTCTGTAGTTAAGTCGATGCGAACGCTTCGGGGTGCCGGGTTCGATCCCAGCTGCAGGCCATGCGCCTTGCATTGGTTTCGACAGTGGTATCACGGAGCCGACCGTCTAGAGGCAATGGCAAACTGCTGGACATAAATTTGCATAGAGAAACCACACAACAGCCAGTGGCTGCTGGCTTTGGTTCTGCAACGTCCTGTTAGGATACGCAACTAACCTAGTTGTCGATAAAAGCAGCAGTTACAGCAAATCAGTACTTGATTTTGTATTTCAGATAGAAAAATTGATTCATTTGCTAACATTCAATTCGTACTGTAGTATGCGCCTGGTGGGACGCAGCGAAATATGGCAAGCAATAACTTGCGCAATCTATTGCATGTGTCGTCTTTGTTCATATTTATAGATGGGAAACATGGCTTAAATTTTGTTTTACGTTGTTTCTGTTTCTTTCACAGAAAAATCTAGTCCTCTTTAGATCTGCGTTGCTATTGGCTGGGGGACTGATGGCCATTTTTGGAAGTAAAGCCATTGATTGGTCGGGTAGTGGCCCACTTGGATGTTTAACGGTGGCCTTTGTAGCCGCCTTTCGGTGGAAGGATGAATACCGAAGTACGGGACAAAAGGTTAACATCTAGCTTCTTCACTATAGACTAGTGTTTTTACTGAAACTGACTAATTTAAGGTTTTGAACTTCTTTAGCTTGTTGCATCTGTCTTGTGAATTACATGGAATGATTAAATATTATATTTCAATAACAAATTTTGTCAAGGCCAGAAATATTTAATGTGCTGCGTTCCAGAGACGTTGAGACAAAATGAGTAAGAGACCATGAACAACCCCCCCCCCCCCCCCCCCCCCACTTTGAAAATAATATGAAAAACGAGGACAAGAAGGTAGAAACCGATTGCAGGGCAAAGAAAAAAGAAATAAAAGTCAATTCCTACTAGGTATGCTGAGCATTGAGACACTGAGGTTAGAGTTAATCGGACCAATATTCTAGAATGTCCATACGGACAACAAGTAACAATGCTTTGCTTATTGAATATTATCTTAAGATAGAATAATGGCATCCCAGATTACTCTAAATATCCCTAAAGATATATTACAAAATGTAATTGTCATAACTATTTAGTATTCAGTAACGTGTCAAATTAAATAACAAACAGTAAAAACAAGCATATCACCAAATATTGAAATAGGAGGGTGGGGAAGGGGGAGACTATATCCCCCCCCCCCCCCCCCGATAAAAACCGCATGGTTTGAATAGAATGTTGTTGCTTAAATTACTACTTTTTAAATACACTGATTCCTGTGTGAGTCCCAGGCCCCGTACTAGGTAAAAAGATAATATACCGACAGCCCCTTCCCCCCCCCCCCCCCCCCCCCACACACACACAAACAAGAATGCAAAAACGCAACTAATCAATGGGGGTTTTTTTCCCGGTAAATTGAACGTTAGTCTTTCCATGGGTAGTAGGTAACGTTCAATTGATAAGTTTGTTAGGCTAGTTTACCGTGTTCGAGGTTATGGGTGTGGCCCTCTGTTGTTGTCTTGCATTTACGTTTTTATTCCGAGAAAGAGACTGCCTGTGACATAGGACAAGAAATGTCGGTGAATTTTACGCTTGTCTTCCCATTTACACATCACCGGTTGTAGGTCAACCACATTGATAAGTTGGTTGGACTAGTCTACCGTGGTCGAGGTTATGGGTGTCACAGTCTGTTTTTATCTGGCATTTACGTTTTTATTTCCGAGAAAGAGACGGCCTGTGGCATAGGTTTTGTCACTCTCTAAGGGGGCTGTTTGTTAGACCCAGTATCTAAATGTTACAGAAGTGTTAAAAGCTCTGGCATGGTGAAATATACAACACGCGGTATGAGCGCGAGTGCGGAATGTCCTAGTGATCTTGTGTGAAAGTCGGATAGCTCGAGGCCGACCTATCATAAGTAAGGTGGTCAGTATGTCGTCCAATTAGAAGCGAGCTAGTGTGAAGCGGTGTGCTAATGGGTAAAGAGTGTAAGAAGAAACTTCACAGGGGAGCATGTACAGCAGGGATCTACCAATTGTCAGTAGAAATAATCTCTCGTCGACAAACGTTTCGGCCCACGAGCTCCTAGACGTTTTCAGAGAGTGGGCCCACCTAAGCTCATGAAGCTCAGGGTTGGTTTCCCTGCTGCACAAAATTACTGGATGATGTTCGGATAGGGACAAGACGACTTGGTGATTTTGCAGAAGGTACTGTGAGATAAGAAGTCGTCGCGGTAGCATAATTAGAGCAGCCTGCATACCTTGACGACCGAGTGACAAGCTTACGATTGGTATACCGGACACATGTTGAACTTTTGTTAACAGGTGGCAGAGGAACACTGGCAGACAATTCGGACACGATGGACTTTCAAGGGATGAGAAACTCTTTTCCACTAGACACCCGGACCAGCTCACCGAGGCCCATCCCCTACGTTGTTTCGTTGCGTCCAGAGCCAGCTCTAGGCCCTCTCAGCAACCTCGCCCAGCCGTTTAAAAGTCCGTTTCCGTTTCCCAATTCTTTAACCACATTGTAGAGTGAAGTGGAGACGAGACCCCTCGCTCCCACTTCGACGGCAAAGACACATACTGTGTACGCCTCGTCTCTCCTCAGACCGGCTGCTAAATCACAGCATTTCTCGAGCTTATACATGTGATTTTCGTCCATACGCGACGGTCAGCTCAATTGGGATGAGCTGCCGTTTCTCCGCAGAATGGAGAACTATGTCAGGTCGCAGGCCGGTCTTACGGATTGACTCAGGGTACCTTTCATGGCCCGGCAGATCAACCGCCAGTAACCAGTCCCTCGCATAGTCTAGCATAGATGGAGCGAATGCACATTGGTTGATCTTACCTTTTTGAATCTGCCCAGCCTTGAGGAAGCGTATGGGGACGACGGTGGGACTGGCTCTAGCGTTAGCCCGCATCCTAGCCTGGTCCACAACAGCGGCCAACTCTTTTAGCACCTTGTTGTGGCGCCAGGTGTATCGGCCTTGACCTAGGGCTTTCCTGCATGCGGACAGAACGTGTTCTAACGTTTGCTTCGCTTTGCACAGCGGGCAAGTCGGATCGTTAGTCGCAGACCACTTCACCATGTTAACACCGGACGGTAATACATCGTACGCCGAACGAACGATAAAGCTCAGTCGCAGCGGGGTCATTCGCCAGATCTCACCCCATGTGAGTACTCCTGGCAATGTGCTCTCCAGGCTGACCCAATGGCCCTGCTGCGACTGTTGGGCTGCTTTCTGGAAAAGAACCTCGTTTTCGTTGTCCCTAACTTGTTGTATTACCATGTCTCGGCGTTCTTTGGCTGTGGCTTTGGGCCACCAATTGACCTTTCCGTGACCTAGTGTAAAATTTACCGAAATGTAATATTGCAACCATGTCCTAGAGTAGCGGCGTCCGTGGCTAAGGCGTTGCGAGTCCGACTCGTAAGCCAGCATACCGAGATCGAAACCCACTGCAGGCTGCGTGGATTTTTGTCGTGGTATGGGACGTCGCAGGTCGACCCAGCCTAAAATGGGTACCAGGATGGGCTGTCCTGGGAAAGTAAAGACAGCCGGCGTAATGCTGACCACATTACCCACAGAGTGCTGATGGTCTGTAAAATATGGGACGCTCTGCCCATATGCCCGATGCGCAGAAAGGTGTGAAAAGGGAACTTTGCTTTTTTTTTTTTACTTATGTCCTAGAGACCACACATTTTGCTAGGTAATAACAGGTACTAAATTTTTGGTACAAATAAAATCAATTTTCACCACGGTATCAGGGAATATTTATTTTTAAATTAGTTTTCTCCATTATTCTCATCAGGCTGCTTGTTGATTACGGAAAGCTGCACCACATATGCCTTTCAAAATGTCGTTTTATCACACACCAGTTACGTACTACGTTGCTTTCATGTATTAGTTATATATCGTTTCTTGATTCCATTCTCAATGTGGTGTCTCTCTTTTCCACTTTCCGAGACGCGTTTTTGTTGTTGTTATTTTTCTACCAAGACATTGTTATCTGTAATGTTACAGAATTATTATTCCATCCCTATTTCAAATCCACTTCTATATCGTTATAGAATCCTTGTTATAAACCTTTCTCTTTTTTAATTATAGAATCCTGTGGAGGATGTAACTGCTGTACTGTGGATGGTGTTTCAGCCCTTGTTGTTTGGGCTTATCGGTTCGGCCGTCAACATTTCCTCTCTGGAATCGGACACTGTGGGTAAGAAGAATAAACTCTTTGCCATTTTTGAAAAGCTGCATCTTCTTCTTCTTCGGCATTCTGAGCTCTTGAGGTTCATTGCTGCAGATATCACCTGCCTCCATTCATCTCTCTGGTTGACCTTCTCTTTCAATTTGGTGACATCAAGTGTTTGCAGGTCTGTCTGGACATTATCTCTCCATATTCTTCTTGGCCTGCCTCATGGTCTACGACCATTCATCTCCCTTGCGTTTACAGTTTTTACTTCTATGTCATCTGACATTCTTTCAATACGCCCCAACCATTTTAGTCTATTAGCTCTCATGATGCCAGTGATCTCGTCACGAAACAAAAGCTGCTTCATATTTTAAATAATTAGCTTCATATTTTGAGAATTAGTATCAGACCCATATTTTAGAACAGTCAGCGCTTAGTAGCGGGTGTGGTCAATGTCCAACCGATCACCTTCCTATGTGGTTTCTGGTGCCCCATTGCGGGGAAAAACAAGAAAAGACCCAATGCCTACCCAAAAGCATGTCGTAAGAATCGACTAATTATGGAGCTTCTTTTGGAGTCGGAGTACATCTGCCTGAGAGGCAGGAACCAAAAGTCTGCATGCAAATGTCTCAGACCTGTAAAACGGATGTGCACTCAACACTTAGTTTCTGGAACAGGACTATGTCCTCAAGTGGACGAACAACCAGAAATGTCCCCCAGAGTTTACTGCCGGTGAATGTAAAGAAGAAGAAGAAGGAGAAGAAGAAGAAGAAGAAGGCACCGATCACTTTCACTTCCCTGGAAATGTCATGATGTTGATCCTAGGCTGCAACTGCAAATCAGGAGGGTAACAACTTAAAAAAAACTGGGCTTAGCGCCAACCCCCTTCATCCCCATCCAAGATATTTGAAGGGACGCTCAAGGGGCCTGAGCCATCGCCTTCTCCACGAGAATCCAGTCTTACTGCCTATTGCAATGCCAACCTCCCGGCTAGCTACTAGTATATACCCATACACTGACCTATCTACATTCCTATCTACTCCGTTATCTTTATCTATCTCTTATCTTCACCATCTGCCTAACTACAAACTCCTGGAGAAGGCGTTGGCTGAGCCCTCATATTATGGCTCCTAGGGTAAATTTGTGACATGCTCATGGACTAAATTATTCTAAGAAAGGTAATGATGTGGTTTCCGCCTGCCTTCCTGAAACTGCTTGCTCTAAATCGATATTTTCTTCTCACAGGTTTCGGAATCGCCATCTTGTTCCTGGGGTTGACAGTTCGAATGGTGGTGGCTTATTTAACCGTGCTGAGGACAGAGTTGAATGTCAAGGAAAGGTTCTTCATTCCTCTTTCTTGGTTCCCTAAGGCAACTGTTCAAGCTGCCATTGGTGCAATAGCTTATGATACTGCAGTGGAGAAAGGTGCTGCTGATCTCATTCCTTTAGGAAAACAGGTATTCAGTAAAATAATAGCTAGAAATTCATTCCCACATTGTCATTTTGTGCCGTTATATGTGAGTGGTGGACTGTTATATGTGAGTGGTGGACTGTTATATGTGAGTGGTGGACTGTTATATGTGAGTGGTGGACTGTTATATGTGAGTGGTGGACTGTTATATGTGAGTGGTGGACTGTTATATGTGAGTGGTGGACTGTTATATGTGAGTGGTGGACTGTTATATGTGAGTGGTGGACTATCTCCCAGTCCTTAAGAAAGAGAATAGGGGCGTTTGAGCTGAAATGCTATAGAAAGATTCTCAAAATATCTTGGACAAAGAAGATGAGAAATACTGACAACTTAAAAGATCTAAACATCAAGGAAGATTGGCTAATAAAAAGCATCCTGTCGTGGAAGCTGAAATATTTTGGTCATGTCAAGCGCCACGAGGGATTGGAAAAAAATATTAGCCGAAGGTATGGTACCTGGAAGGAGGGGCAGGGGCCAACATGAAGATGGGCACAGGATATGAGTGACTCCTTGAGGATAAAAGTACATGAGGCGGGAAAACTGGCAAGAGAATGAGTTTCTTTCAGGCAGACTGTGATGAGAGCGACGTTCTGCAAAGGATATGCTATATGATGATGATACATCACACAGGTCCTGCTATATACAAGTATTTCCCCATTCCGTTCTGTCCTGCGTCTCCCTTTGATTTCATGAATGGAATCGATTCCAGCAGCTTTAGCCTCTCTCATCCATGTTCACCTTAGGGTTTCTCTTGGACATCCTCGTTTCATCAATCCATCTATTTCCCATTTCAGTGCCTTTTTGGTGATTCTCAGAATGTGTCCAATATAGCACCACCTATGTCTTACTGCTGACACTAATGGTTTTCCACACATTTCTCTTGAATTCGTCCCATTATTTATTTGTTCATCACTTTCCTTAATGTATGAATGAAATTATGTATGAAAGGAGGGAGGCTAGAATGACAGAATGTTAGAAGACCTGCGGGCCTAATTCTTAATTCTTTTAAAAAAAAATGTGTTTGTTCCTTCGGACATTTAGCTTTTGTTCCATGTCTTTTCTGTGGGTCTCCAACTTTCACTGGCATATTTTAAAACGGAAATAACATTAGAATTGAAAGTACATAACTTTGTTTGAGGCCATATGGCTGGTGCATTCGTCTTGTTTTATCTTTGTCTCCAGCAGAAACAATATTCATCAGCTTACTTAGGGTCTAATCTAACTGCTCCTCTTACTCCATTTACAAATCTGTATTAGCCTCTTCTGGTAGTGTATGTGTGTGTACCTGTACGTGAGTGTGTGTGCACATGCGCGCATGTGTGTGTATATATATAAAGCAGCAGAATACAGCAGGGATAAATCAAGGGTTGATATTTACAAGAGCTAGGCTTTGTTTAGATTAGCCAAATAATCTAGTGACCAATGACCAGTTCATCCTGACCAACTGAATAATATCCTACTCACAAAGCCATGCTATGTGTGGAAACAACAAAAGTTCAACCAGATCCACAAACAAATTACAAAATGAAAACTTGGACTGAAACCAGTCACACAATTCACAGAAGAGTAACAGATGATACACTTTGGCCATCTGATGAAATGCCCTGGTACCAACTGCCAGAGAGAGCCAGACTGAAGAAATAAAATGAAGGCAGTAAGAGGAAGACCATGCAAAATATGGAAACATGGCATCAAGAACAACCCTGAAGAATTAAGATCAACTTACATTGCACATTCAAAAAGACACAGAGATGTTTACATCTCAAAAATTCTGATGAGGTAAATGGAAGAAGAGAAATAGGTGCTTTATTAATATCCTAACCCAAACAGGGGAAATCCACAGGTCAAGGGACAGTCTAATATTTCAGGGGGTGGTAGATAGGCTGCATGCATTTGTGGGACCCAGGCTGCATGCAGTCGTGGGACCCAGGCTGCATGCAGTCGTGGGACCTAGGCTGCACTCTCTCGTGGGACGAATGTGGTGAGGTTAGGGCCAGTTCTAGATATTTTGGGGTCATTAACAGCATTGGAAAACCTGGAAACCCAGTCTCATCACTCTCTAAAATGCTGGACTGTCCTGTGACGTCATCTGTGGTAGGATTTCCCATTTTAAAAAAAAAACAGAGAAATAAAATAATACACAATTATATTTTCTAAACTACATAAACATTTGAACACTGGTAAAATATTGCTTTCCTTCTTTTTAAATTGAAATCAAATCTCTTCCCAGATCTTGACGATTGCCGTGTTAGCCATTCTGATTGCGGCACCGATTGGCTCTATTCTCATCACTGTGGTTGGACCACGCTTACTTCACAGAACAGACTCAGGACAACCAATTAGCGATGACATCCAGAAAACAGCCATGCCAGAAAATTGTGTCCATACAAATTGTGCTGCAGAAATTGACGACGAAAAATTAGACCAACATGCTCCGAGCCCAATGACTAAACTATAGATGTCTAAAAAAAAGAATATAGTTTGTTTTATATGGGGAGGATAATTGCAGCCAATGATACTGGTTTTGTAAATTTGGTAGCTTGCACAAGCAAGCTAATAATTGTAAATTATGGCTATGAGAACAGGGTTATATCTATTACTAGGTGGAAAGATCTATGTAACAATCTTCTAGTTCGCAAGTGGAATGTGGAAGTGCAGATAGATCATTATGGCGTGGACAGAATGGTGTATTAGGAAAGGACCAGGGGATATAGTTGACTGTCTACACTCAGAAGAAAAACAGCACGAACATTTAAGCTTCTTCTTCCTTGCCTTCACTGGCTGTAAACTCTTGCGAAAAGTTCTGGTTGTTATCCAGTTTTGGACTGCAGTTCTGTTCCAGAACCTGCGTGTTGCGTATGCATCCGTTTTACAGATCTGACTCATTTGTATGCAGACTGCTGGTTCCTTGCCTCACAGGCAGATGCACTCTGACTTCGAAGGAAGCTCTTAATTAGTTGACTCTTACAGCATGCTTTTGGGTAGGCAGTGGGTATATTCTCCCCCCCCCCCCCCCCCACCACACCCATAACGAGGCACCCGAACCTACACGGGGAGGGCATATAAGCAAATTGCTGCTGATAACCCTAGGAACTCTTCGCTGGCTGCTGAATATGAGGATGGAGTACTTATGCGATATCAGTTTCCAGACTCAGCTCAAGTCAACTCAACATGGCTGCTTGCTTTCTAAACTTACAACATGACTGCATATAGACACTGTGTGGTAGTCTCTTCTCTCATACCCTGGAGTAACAAGCTAGCCCATGACATATAACTTTACTATCACCAATTTTTCCTTGTTTCTAGCACCCAAACAGTTTCTGCTTTCTTTCAGTTTTATCATAAAAGGAGAATCTCAGCACAGCACACAAACTCTGTCCATGTAGGAAAATAAAATACTAGGCTAGTTACAGTGTATCCAATATTGTTCTGGAGAATGTGAGGGCCCTATCTCTTCCACGGTGCAACTCTTTTGTCAGTCTGAAGACCCAGGCAACATTTTCTTCTTAAAAAAAACTGTCCCCTGCAGATATCCAGCCCTAGTACTACAAAATCATGACACTGTTAAATTGCATTCACTAACCTCTAAACAGCAGAGCCATTCATGCAGGGAAATAATTCTTTATGAGAAAAATGTTACATATGTGGAAGAGGTGGTGAGGGGTATGTTTGTTGAGAATTCCCAGTATGTGTCGAGGTAAATGAAATTTATTTGTAGAGGTATACTATTTTACTTCTTCTCTGCGTTCACCAGCTCCAGATTCCGGCGGCAAGTTCTGGTTGATCGTCTACTTCTGGACATGTTTAACTCCAGAACTTCAGTTTTACAGATCTGGCTCATTTATATGTAGACTGTTGATTCCTTGTCTCTCAGGCAGATGTACTCGGATTTCGAAGGAAATCCTTAAAATGCGACTCTTACAATATGCTTGTTATGGAGGGAGTGGGTCTTTTCCCCCCCCCCCCCCCCCCACCCACAATGGGGCCCAGGAACCCACCTGGATAGATGTACTAATGTGCGTGTAAAGAAGTCCCAGTAAAATTAGAGATAAATTGAGTTTATGTGAATATAAAATGTAAATGAAATATAACACACAAACAGCATGTACATACCTCTCTCAGAAACATGCTACAAAAGACATCTTTACCCTTATTTCAGGGACGTGTCACAGACAACATAATTCAAGATATATCCTCTACCATTTAATAACAAACATATGCTGTTTAAAACATTTTCCAATGACTTATCCTATGACAGGGAAACTAACATAGTATTCAAACAATGTACATTAACAATAAAATATCCAAGCAACCACCTTATAGATTACACCATCTCCTTGACTTAAGAACTAAGCAACCCATGACCATCTGTGCTTATGACCCCAAAAACATTTTTTCTAAAGTAGCAAATAAAGAAAGATTACACTGGTAGGGCATAAAGGTTCCCAGAACTGATGCCCAGAGCACAGTGTATCAGTGTATGGCAGATTATCTCAAACCTCAGGCCTCCCACTACCTGGCGTCAGTGTTGCTAGATTGGGCTTCAGGTCGCTAAGTCATAAAATGAGTTTCCCCTCCCACAAATGACTTGCTTTTATGAGAGAGAGAAAATTGATACAGAAAAACAAAACGTCCACATACACACAAACTTATTTCATAACTAAAAGAGGAATTTAATTTTTGTATCTATTATTTTTACATTACGTATAGTTCCAGGTTGTATTTTTTTTCGACAGTATGAACAACAGAGTACATATTATTTATTTTCACATTATATACAATAATTCTACGTACATAGACTGATTCTTTGTGTTTCATGTATAATTTGTATAACCTGTTAGAATGAAAATAGTGTTGAAAAATATGATTTGAGTTATGACCAGTTCGACTTACGACCTGTTAGCCGGAACAGAACTCAGCCATAAGTCAAGGAGAGCCTGTAGTGTCTGTAATATAAATTACCAGTTTAAAAAAATGGAATATTATTAAACTATGTTGCATTGTCATCCACAAAGAATGTGTGAGCAAAATTTGAGCTTGAAAAGACATCACAAAATAGTTTTGAAAGTTCTGACCAGAAAAACACATTGAGAGATCTTAATAAAATTGTACAAAAAAGGAATTAAAAAGTCTTCAACTTTTACTTTTACTATCAAGTGCCATGTGGAAGAATAGCTGATGGTCAGCGCTTGATGACTGGCAGTAGTTTCTGTTATTCTGTGTGAATGTGAACCTTAAAAGTCGCTGATCAATCTTCTTTAGTTACCTCTGCTGTGGTATCTCATTCTCTGTCACTGGCATCTTTGAAGTAATCAATCCATCTTCTTCTTTAGTTCCATCTACTCTCATATCAGACTGTTGTCATTGCATGTGAATCTAAACCATTAATGTCATCAAGCCATCTTCTTATTTAGTGATTCTTGATCTAGTATCAGATTTGTCTCATTCTGCATGAATGTGTATCTTTAATGTCATTAATCCACCTTCTTCTCTAGTGCCCTGTTGCTAGGGTATGAGATATTTCTCGTTCCGTTTAAATGTGTACATTCAATGTCATGATTCCATCTTCTTTGTTGCCCATTTGCTCTGGTATCAGAATGTTTATAGTGTAACACCTGTGTTGGTATGTGTGGTTTTCTTAAGCACCTGTAACTGTGGAAAAAAAATAAAAAATAACCACCTGTAGAATGAGATGTTTAAGCAAGGCTGCATACAAAACCATACTAGATCATCTGACAAATGAGGGAATTGGGAGAACTACTGGAACAATAGACATAATTAAATTCAATGAGAAACAAACATTGAAATGGTTCAGTCACCAAGTGGGAACGAACCCAACTATGCCAGCCGCAAGAGCGTATGACATAAAATGGAAACACCAAGAGAAAGATCTAGAAAAGTGTGGACTGAACGAGTAAGTGAAACTAATCCCTTTCATGCCAGTGACCTACAAAGAACACTGCCAACAGCCTGTAACTCCAGTATTTAAAGAATTCCTTTTAAAGAAAACATTCCTTTAAGAAAACAATACTTTATACTTCGCACCCCAAAACCCCCCCCCCCCCCCCCCCCCCCCCCCAAAAAAAATAATCACAGCAATTCGATTTGTGGACCCAAATTACCCAAAAATGCCACACAGATAAGGGAAGTCGTCGTGGTGTAGCAGCTAGAGGCTCACCTGCAGAACAGAAGATCATGGGTTCGGGTCCTGATGGAACCAGACATTTTTTTTCTTTCAAAAATGACTTTGACTTCCAGCTTGACCCAGCCTTGAGTGGGTATCAGGTACAAGTCCTGGGAAGTAAAGGCGGCCGGCATGATGTTGACCACATCATCCATCAAGTGCCGATTGGTCTATAAAATATAAGTCTAGCCCTAAATACCCAGTATGCCTTAAGGTGTGGAAAAAGGGTCCTTTACTTATTTGTTTTGTCAACCAATAAAAAATTATCTATGTCTGTGTCTCTTTTAGACTAACAGGAAAATTATTATGATAGAAGTTCTATAATTATTGCCACTTTTTCCACAAGGAACACTGCTAAATGCTATTTTTAGTACATTTAATAGTTAAAACATGACATCAACACAAACTATGCAACTAGCAAAAAGACAGGAAACTACATATAAATCCTCCCTGTATTGCTTTATGTCATAAGTAGAAGGACCCACAAAAAATTTGTAGTGATAGCTTTCGATTCTGCTAAATGTTTGTGCCTGCACAAATGGAATAAATTCTGTTAGCTACTTTTCTCATAAACAGGACATGATAGTGAGCCAGAAAAGCGGCTCTTGAGGGGTAATAGTACCTGCCAAATAGAGGTGTTGAGTTTGAGGCTTCAGGGGGCAACAGGGTTAAGACCACAACATCACGGCATACCAAATAACTTTGTGTGCCCCGGCACGGCTACCTAATGTCCATTAAAATGCAATGCCTCACTAACAGCACAAAGAAGATAATGACAAAAGAACAAGCACCTGTGCACTATTGAACCCTCACAAGATTCTAAAACAATCTTATCTATTTCAAAAGGTGTCTGGCAAAAAATATGTCTTGACAATATTCTTTCTCCATCAATTTCGGATGGTTAAGTCTGTGGCTCTTCTCAGCCATAAGGAAGATCAATTCCATTTTTACGATTTAAAAACATTGAAATTACTGTAATGCTATAACTGATTACACAACCGGGCATGGTCATCAAAAATAAAGTAAGCATCTAATAATTAACATTAGGAAATTCCAAATTAAACCTGCATTTAATAACAACACTGTATGCCACAAAAAAGTTAAGTAGAAACCATACAAATTCAAACAAAAAAAACTGAAAAAAAAACTAAGGAGTGAATTAATTTAAGTTATGGAATGTAAACTGCAACTATAATGTTAAAATTTATCAACAAAGTATTAAAGCATTAGACTAATCTATATTAGAAAATAAAAGTCTAACAATCATATTTATAACAATTTAAGTACTGATCATACAACTGATTATGCTTACATACACAACAATGGATATAACTAACTAAACTTATAGAACAAAAACTGCAACCATGTTACCAAAAATTACAAAGCATGTGAGCAGCTTAAAGTGTGACAGTAATATCTATAATAAGTTTAATACTGATGATTATGTTATCATAAGTAATGAAGAATTTATGGAAAACAAACTGCAAGTTGCTAACAAAAACTAACTAAAGGGCTAATTTTATCCTTTGCCCATTAGAAAAAGAAATATCAGTTTTGCTGACCTTTACAGATCCCAGAGAAACTGCTATTTCAGTTCCAAAGCCCTCGTCAACCTCAGAAAGCATATTTATCGGTTTGGTACTGTGTAATGTTTAGATGGATCAAATATTATGTCTACTAAAAATAGCAGCTGAGGGATGTTCAGCGATGTTTTTACCAAGCCACCATGATAGTTTAACATGGCTAAAATAACTCAGCTTTCAGGACAGGATGCTGTTTATGGGTCAGTTCTACTCAATATCATGATCAAGCAGGATGTCTATTTTGTTCTTCTTTTTGGTCCAAGGAATTTTTCTGTAGTATTTCATTTCGCAATCTTCAAATGTTTTCTTCAATGATTTAGTAAAGAGTCCATGACTCACACGCATAAGTTGCACAGGAAAGATGCATGATCTCAACACTTTTACTTTAACTTTCTTGCAGATGCTATACCATAGATTTGTCATTTCTAACTTCTTTTCTAGTCACCATTGTTGCCTAGGGATTACATGGTTTTAATTCTTGGTTACTCTATTATTGATCCATTCCTTCAACTCTCACTAGTTAAAAAATATATATATATATTTGCTACAATGTTAGTGACTTTGCAGCTACATATCAACTAGGCTAACACGCTTGCCTACCTGGTTGGTGGTCATATATTCAAACCCCCATAAAGGCCCACATTTTCTAAAGACTGATCTAAATGTTTCTTCTTCTCTTCCTTTAGTTTACTCAGGAAAGATATGCAGAAAGATGTAACTATGTGCTCTTTCTAATATGCTTTGTAAATTGTTCATTTTTCCAAAGTTCTTGTCAAAAGAAAGGGTTAAATTGGGAAATAATAGTGTAACAAACATATATACACCAGTCTAGTGAGGATGGGGCCGGCTCCCCACCCTGTAAAAAATTTTTTTTACAGAAACTCGCAGGATGGAGGACTGGACTATAAGCCTTAAGACAGGGTGATGATAACATGAAAATGTAAGTACTGATAATACAAATTATCAGGTTAACAGAAATAATAAAGAAAAAAAAACTATTTTTAATGTAACTTCTAGAATATTCTTCTTCTTCTTCTTGTTCACCGGCTGTGAATTCCGGCGGTAAGTCGCGGTTGTTCGTCCAAATGGACTTTTGGCTTTTACCTTGACCTGAGTTTTGCGTGTACATCCGTTTTACTGTCTTATTTGTTTGCAGTACTCGTTCCCCGCCTCTCCGGCAGATGTACTCCGACTTCGGAGGAAACTTCTAGAATATAAATTTGAACAACATTTTGTTAACAAAAGTAACAAAGGATGTGAATTAGGGGGGAAAAGTAACATCAATCATGTGTACAAACATGTAAAGGACTAGACAAATGACCCAATTTATTATAGAAAATTTTAAAAAAGACAACACTCATGAAATAGTATTTGCTAAACTAGGTAAACTTTAAACTAACAAAAAATTAGAATATATAATTATATATTTACACATTAATATCAAGGAAAGGCCAGTATGCCAAAATTTAGGATAAATCAAGAATAGACCCCCTGCCTGGCCAAAAGCATGTCGTAAGAATCGACTAATTGGAAGCTTCCTTCGAAGTCGGAGTACATCTGCCTGAGAGGGAGGGAACCAACAGTCTGCATGCAAATAACTCAGATCTGTGAAAAGGAGTCCATAAGTGTATGAACAACCAGAACTTTTCTCTTGGAGTTTACAGCCAGCAAATGCGAAGAAGAAGAATATTTACTGTGTACATTTTTCTGTTAAAAACTGTGTGGATAATAAGCAATTACACTGCAGATTTCACAATGCTACTCGATATCCTGTCATCGCCAACATTATGTACCAGTTTGTGCGCTGACTTTCTCCCATGCCACAACAAAAGGCTACTCACAATCTTCCCTCATTTTCATCTATTTCTCTTTCCATTAATATTTTCAGTTGTGACTAGACACTCCAGTTTCTCCCTTCTTATACTGTGGCCAAAAATGACCACTGCTTCTTCTTCCTGTCTTTATTGCTTGTGTATATGGCTGGCTGCACGGTTAACAAAACCCAGGTTAGAATCCTCAGTAAGGTTGTGCAATTTTTTTTGTAAGGGGCCAAAACAAAACCCTAACCGACACGGTCCATGGCAACAGCACTAGCCGTCCAGCCCAAAATCCTCAGGCTCAAAGACCACCCCCCCCCCCCACCTAACACCACAATGAGTGGTAAATGTAGGCAGCAATGTCATTTGTTTTTAATGGCAGGGCAAGATAGGATAGGGAAATCTTTAGCCTGAGGAGTTAAGACTACACAGTTCGTGCAGCTGTCACAAACCACGAAGGTTAACTTGTTTTGTTTTTGTTGCCAAGAAAAAGCTGCATCCACCTATGGATGATTCAAACACAGGTCTCAGGCATGATAGCTCAGAGTTCCTTCATTTTTTATTTTGTAATTACAATTTACTTCAAAAATTTTATTTTGGCTTTCTGCTTGCTTGTCAAGTCAATCATGCAGATTTAGCCAAATTTAATCAAAACAAAAACACAGTCAAAGTAATACTTTTGCAAAAATAATACATGTAACAATAAATATGTTAAAACGATAAGAAACTTCAGTACAGACCATTTCTCAGGAGATTACCAGGGGAAGAAATTATTCAATAATAATAAAAAATAAAAAAATTACCACTGTGGGTAGTCTGTTTTTAAAGAAGCCACATATACAATAACAGTAATTACCAGTGTACCCATACTGTCTTTTATGTTGTGACCAAATAACACATTAGGTGATGGCTGAAATTTAGAGAAAATGACATCTCGTGAGTGTCTTGGGTCCGAAAATGAACAGAGGTTATCTTCAAGGGAAATATAGGAGCAAGATTTCTATTCAAATAAATAATTCTTTGTGATTAAAAAATTAAATATTTTAAGTATAATGAAAAACATGGGATTTAATACTGGGATACTGAGAGTCACTGAAAATGGGAAAACAAGGATGTGCTGGGTGGGGGTCTTGATAAGAATCATGTGTCCACAATTAGTAACAATTTTTAAATAGGTCATTTTGAAATATGTACAGCAATGTTGAAATAACCCCCCCCCCCCCCCCCCCCCTTCCCTTTTTCCCACACACATTAAACATTTATATATGAATCACTTGTGTCCACAATTAGTAACAATATTTAACCCTACCAGACCTGAGGCCCTGAACCTAACTGCCTCCTATACCTGAGCTCCTGTGCATTAACGCGAAAAAACCAACATAATATAATATACACAAATATTAGTTACATGCAAACAAGTGGCTAGAATAAGATGAAACTTAGAGACATTGTAGAAAACAGGTTTACCTTTTATCTAGCGCCAAGATTCCACCTTTGTGTGCTAAAACACCCAGCAGGATCAACCTTGTTTCACAAAGTGAACACTAGATGTTGCTGTTTGAGGGACCCCCTCTCCTACTTTCAATCTATTTCTAGATTTATAATTTTCAAGATTCTCCTCATCATTATAGCTCTCACTGACTGTGTCACTTCAAATGGGAATGTATTCTTCATGAAATCATGACTCCACAGAGTCTGAATCAACCAGAGTATCGATCACTTGTTGGAGTGTGAAAAGCCTAGACCTACTTTACTTTCCTGTCGAAGTGCTTGCTTTATCAACCGCTCGTTTTATTGTGAATTTTCAGAATTTTTTCACGTAAAACAACACAAACCTAATCCAAACATGTGAGAAGATTATCCACAAGATTTGATTATGATTGGCTAGTTATTTTTAATTTATGACGCATTGTTTTCACGTAGTACGCAAATTCCCGACATTAATATACAACGGTTTAGCGGCAGGTTAGGAAATTCCCATAATAGAGGGCCAGCGGTCTGGTAGAGTTAAATAGGCCATTTCTAAAAATGTACAGCAATGTTGAAATACACCCCCCACCCCCCCCCCCTTTTTTTTTCACCAAACATTTACATCTCAATGAAATAACCTTAAAAATTAAAATACGGTGGGGGAGGGGGGGGGGGGCACTATAGTCTGGGGGAAATGGGAGCTGAGATATAATTCAAAATTTTACGAGACAATAAATAAGGACCGAAACTGAAAGGTGAATGTTACCTCAAGCATGGGACAAACTCTCAAATGCAGGCAATAAAACCATACATTTGGAAACATATGTACTGAAATGTGTTTATGTTGATTTTAGCTCAGGTGTTTGATATGTATTTTTTTAAACCTACATTCAACAATCACCACTGTAAAAACAGATAAGAGATATAATATATATAAAAGCCTTACAAATTACCACACACTCATACACACATAAAACACACCCCTTGCCAAAAAACAAACACCTTCCAAGTCTGAGAGGAGTTCTCAAAGAATATCAGTGGTGACTTGATGCTCTGTTCCTCTCTTCTATATTCTCTAAATTATTCTTGTCTTGCATCACTCTATTCCCTAATTCTTGATCATCAACACAGTCATCATAACCAGGAACTAGAACTGTGGAGTCTCTAAAGGTGGCAGATTTGTTCAGAAGTAGCGGTCCTAGGATGGCAATCAGTAGGGATCCCAGTGGAGCAGTCAGGATAATGGACAAGACTGCCAGGTTGAGAATCTGTTAGTGGAAGACAGCCATAAAATGTTAGTTGATACATTAATAAAAGTTAAGGACAAGTAGTCGGCATCTGTGGCTAAGGCGTTGGGAATGCGCTTCCTAATGCCAGGGTGCCGGGTTCGATTCCAGCTGAAGACGGTTTGTCTCGCAATGTTTTCAACAGTGGTACCGAGAGCTGACAGTTCAGAGGCAGTGGCAAACCACTGAACATAAAATTTGCCTAGAAAAACCACAATAGCCAAAAAATGTTGGGAGTTGGCTCTACAATGTTCTGTAAATATATGCAACATTTTTTTTTTTAATGGACAGCTAAGAGATGCAATGATTGCCTCTACCTTCATTCTGATTCTGCTTATAGTTAGCAAAAAAGCCTCCTTGCTTAGCAAAGCAATGATAAATCCTTCAAACTTCCCTAAAAGTCCTCATTTTGACCATAAACAATGCAGAACAGTGCCAACAATATGTGTAAAAAGAAGTAACCGGAGCTGACTCTTATCTAGTGGTATAGTATGAAACATCAAACAAAGTTACTTTATAATAGGGCTCACTTTATAATGAGGCAGGGTAACCAGTCTACATCTTAGCTACGCCCGGCTCTCTAGCGAAATTGGCTAAACCGGATTTCGCAGAGACCGGGTGACGTACTCCTTGTGGTCCGGGTTCAATCCCGGGGGTAGGCAGGAAAGCCACATTTTCTCCCAGATTGACGGTATTTACAATGGAATCAAGGCCGAAAGGTTGCGATATCCATAATACCGAGCCTAAGGGTTAACAACTCATGGCTTCTGGATACTAAAACAAACAAACAACAAACATCTTAGCTACTGTCAAGAGTATTTCAAAGCAATTCTGAAAGACTTATGACCACCCACTTTCCAATTCCAAGACTGGGTCTAACCTACATCTGCACCGGTCAAGACAAAATCCTGCGGATCTAGGATCCTGTTCTGATAAGACTGCAAGCTAATCACTGCGGCTGCCACGAGCTGAGTTGAGAACCAACATCACAGCACCCAAGACTTCCCTTAGCAAGTCCATTCCCATCTTCAGAAGGCAGTTTTGATTCTGGTGTGGTACCAGTCTAACTGTACATCCTTCTTGTCTTTGCTCTAAGTGTTGAGTGTCAGTCAGATCCCCTGGTCACTTCCCACTCCCTTATTCTTACCAGGCTGTGATAATCTATTTGCCATCTAAACTGTTCACTCACTTCCAAAGAGCAATGACCACATCTAGCTCATCAGGCCACTGTGACATGCATCCCTATGTATTAATTTTACTTACTTAGTCACTCCTCTTCTACCTTGGGGTGTAGAGGTTTGCCAGAGAGATAGCCAGACGTCTCTTTCAGCAATTTTTCTTTTTCTGGCTTTGTTCCATTCCAGTCCTCTGTCAGTTAGGTACTGTTAGATGTTGTCTTCCCAGCTCACCCTGGGTCGTCCTGGAGATCTGGTTCCCTGGTTTTTAGCGTCCCACGCCTGCCATGGTAGCTGATTTTCTCCCATTCTGTATATATGTCCAAACCATCGTAATTGTGACTGATCCACTCGGGTTTGTAAGGACTGGGTATCAAGATCTTGACGTAATGTCTGATTGCGGACTTTGTCCCTTCTTGTCATTGGACCACCTTTCTCAGATATCTAATTTCAGAGGCCTAAAGCTGATGTATAAATTTTACAAACAGAAAAAAAAAAACAGGATGACCCAGGCTTTAAAAACCAACAGTAGTGGAAGAGTACTCATATTGAAATCATTAATCTTTTCCCTTGCAACTTATGGATGTGAGTCATGGATTCTTACTTAATCAATGAAGAAAAAAATGGAGCTTTTGAACTGAAATCATCATAAATTCTCCTTATGCCTAGTGGCACATGAAGCTTCAGAGAGGACATTCCATGCTTTCCTGTCCTGTGCAATTTTCAGTGCAGTTTTCCATGTCAGAGATGCTGCATTCAGGTCACTCTCCATCGTTCGTCTCCATGCTGCTTTTGGGTGCCCATGTTTTCTCTTTCCTTCTGGTGTCCATGTGAGAGCTGTTTTAGCAGGTTTATCTTTTGAACTGAAATACTACATTAAAAAAATAGGAATACCATGGACAGAGAAGAAGAAAAACACTGATCTCCTACATGATCAGAGCACCGAGAAGAATTGGCTTACAAACAGCAACCTGACCCGAAAGCTGAGTTATTTTGGCCACATTAAATGCCACAGTGGCCAGGAGAGAACAGCGATGGGGGCGTTTCCAGAAAATGAGCTAAAGGCAAAGTGAAGATGGATATATGACACCGAAGATGCATTGGCTATGAAAGCATATAGGACTAGAGAACTGGCTAGAGAAAGACTTTCAGGCGTGCTGTGACGAAAGCAAAGTTCTGCAGACTGATGAGTGGAAGAAACTTACCTGCTTTCCAAGGCTTATAAGATCCTCGTCTCCTTTTGCCATTGCAGTGTCCAATGCAACAGCACCAATAGCAGCCTGTTGAATACGTATGCAGAAAAGTAAGAATATGATGAGAATAAAGGATGATAAAACAATGGATTTAAAAGAATAAATCAAGCATACAATAACCCAATCGACTTCAGTGTGCAGATAAGCCTAAAAAACATACCCAAGATACCTCAAGGAATGAAGAAGGGACTTTCACTTTACCATATCCCACATACAAATAAAGTAATAAGTTACAATGATTGAAAGGGGTCATATATATAAGGGGGCTGCGTGGTCTCGAAGTATAGTGTCAATATCAAGGTCCTTTTCAAGGTATCCTTAGTTTTTTTTTTTTCAAGGTTGTTTTGGAGTATAACTGAAACACAGCATTTTCGCCTTGTTTAAGGGCGTACCGAGCACAAAAGGTACTTTATTTGTGTGTACATATGTGGGTATTCCAGCACAGATATAGTGTTTTTACACTTTTTTTTCTAGAGTTGTTGGCAGAGGGAGCAAATTGAAGTCCTACCTATTCTAGACCTGGTAAATGAAGGAGAAAGGAAGAGAGAAGATAGTCATACAGAGAGGGAGGAAGACAGATGTGAGGTAGAGTGGGAGAGACAGTGTGAAAGACAGAGAAGGAGAAAGAGTGGGTAAAGAGGGACAGGCAGGCAGAGATGGACAGATAAAGAGAGGGGGAGAAAGAAAAGAGAGACAGAGGGAAGGAGGACAACAGATAAAGGAACGAGACATGATGAAGGAGAGTGGAACAGTCATAGCAAAAGAAAAGAGGGAGACAAAAACAGAAAGAGGGACATGCAGATAGAAAGGTGGGAAGATAAAGAGAGGAGGAAGACGATAAAGAAACCGAGATATGGAAGGAGCAAAATATGACAAAAAAGAACTGGAGGGATGGAAACAGAGAGAGAAGGCACAGGGAGAGAGGAGATGCAAGCAGAGAGATGTAGACAGAAAGGCGGGAGGCAGAGGGACAGTATATAGAGGCAAACATACAGAAGGAGGGAACCAACAAGAGAGACAAAATGCAGAGCAAGAGAATGGGAGGGGGGTATACAAAAAGAAAGTGATGGAGAGAGGCAAAAAGACATAAAGCAAGAGAGAGAGAGAGAGAGAGACAGAGAGAGAGAGAGAGATAGACAGACAGACAGACAGACAGACAGACAGACAGACAGACAGACAGACAGACAGACAGACAGACAGACAGATGGGGAAGAAGGCAGTGACAGATAAAAAGAGAGGGGCAGATAGGGAGACAAGACAGATATTAAAAATATGCCAGAATTGCTAACAAATATAACAACACATCAAAGAAAAAGAAATAAACTACCAGCCTCATGCTGAAACCCCACCCACTCCCTCAACCATAAAACAATTTCATGTGTTCTGGACACAACCACTAGGTAAAAGGCAGTTATGGGACAGTAAAGCAAATTTAGAAAAACCAAGAGGAAAAAAAGAGGGGGGGGGGGAGAGAAAGAGGAGAGTGTAAGGAAATAAAGAGGATGGAGAGGAGACAAAGAAGAGAGGGGACAGGAGGGAGAGCAAGAGAGAACAGAGTAAGGAAATCAAAAGAGGAAGGATGGAGAGAGAGAGACAGGAAAAGAGAGGGGTAGAGGAGTCAAAGTTCAAAGAAAAGGGATGAGAGAAGGAAGACATGGGGGAAGTGGGGGAGGCAGTAAGAACACATCAATCAGCAAGTCCTTTACAGAACGTCGCTCTCCTCAAGGCACATCGCTCTCCTCAAGGCACATCGCTCTCCTCAAGGCACATCGCTCTCCTCAAGGCACATCGCTCTCCTCAAGGCACATCGCTCTCCTCAAGGCACATCGCTCTCCTCAAGGCACATCGCTCTCCTCAAGGCACATCGCTCTCCTCAAGGCGCCTGAAAGTATCCCTTTCCCTAGCCAGCTCTCCAACCCTATACGCTTTGAGAACACTGAGCGCCAAAAATAGACTTGGGAAATCTAAGTGACGTCACTTTTCCAGTTCCCACTGTGAATGTGGTTGTGGTCCATAAACAACAGCGCTGACCCTCCCCTTCCACTTGTCTGTCTGCGTGTGACTGAAATAGTTCCATTTCTTACACTCAATGCTGGTGGACCTGGCAGCCAAGGTCAGTTCTTTAAAAAAAAAAAACGGCTCCATCAGGATCTCAACCCACGACTTTTGATCCGTCACATTATTTGCAAATAGTTATGGATACCAGTGGATTTCTGTTTTATTTCTGATTCTCCCATTACATAAAGGGAGAGGGGAGAAGGTGGTAAAGGGTGGTGTGGACATCACTTTGCTAGCCTCAACATCTCCCAATGTAATCACGGCTTTTATAAGTTCTAGAAAAAAAATGCACACAAGTCCTGGCTGATTCCTCCCACCCCATACCATACAGCTGCTGTCTGCGTGTACCCATGGGCTGCAACACAGCTCGCCCCTGCTCTAGCCCTTAACAAGCCATTTCAGTTAAAAATGGCCGATAATCAACTGCCTGTTCACCACAAACGACCATGAACATTCAAAATAAAGGTAGCCAAAAAATAGCCAAATGGCTAAAAATATAGCCTAACTACCGAAAATCATAGGTCTTTCCAGGATAGTTCGTTTTACTTCAATTCTACCACTGCCGCGATCAAAATTCCAGGTTATCAAGGTCAGTATGTCATTTATCAGGTCAAATTTTAGGTTCCAGGTTGAGGGCGCAATTTCCAAGTTAATTTCAAGGTCGGCTATGAACCCTGACTTTAGAACCCTTTTCCCTACCAGTGGCACATCCGGAATATGATGCCAGGCTCATATTTTGAAAGACCAATCAGCACATTTTTAAGAGCATGCATCTTTCCCATTGCAACATACGCCTGTGAGACCTGGACACTTACTAAACAAGCGGAACAGCGCATAAATGCATTTGAATATAAATGTTACAGACAGGTTCTAAGAATATATTGGGTAAAGAAAAGAACAAATGCATCCATACTTCAAGAGCTGAATATTGAAAAGGGTTGGCTAGTAAAGACAATAAAACAAAGAAAATTGAAATATTTTGTTCACTTGAAACGTCATGGAAGTCTAGAGAGAACAATAATGGAGGGGTATATGCCTGGGAAGAGAGGAAGAGGAAGGCCAAGGAGAAGATGGGTGCAGGATGTGGCAGATGATCTCCAGATGGGTGTATCAGACGCGGGACATCTTGCTCAGGATAGGAAGGTTTTCCGGAGGGTTGTTATGGCAGCGAGGTTCCGCGAGGGACATGCTACTGAATGAATGAATGAATCAGCACTCAATAGGTAATGTGGTAAACATCACGTTGGCTGCTTTCCTTTCCCAGAACTTTACCTGGTATAATTTTAGGCTGGGTCAACCTGGGAGCCAAAGTAATTTTTATAAAAATTTGACTCACGGATTCAAACTCAAGACCTTTGTATTTATACTGAGAGTCTTCTCTACCCAATAAATCCCACATTATAACAATACCCCAATGAAATGTCCCAAACAATGAAAATGTGGCTACAATAAAACCTTACCTGGACAGTAGCCTTTGGTAACCAAGCAAACGGAATGAAAAGCTTCTCTCTGAGGGTGAGATTTGTGCCGAAAACTGACAGGAACGAGACTATCCCTCGGAAGAACAATCCTATACCTAACACAGCAATCCCAAAACCTGGTGGAATAAAGGTCATAAATTACTAATCTGAATTACTTAAAAGAGGATTATGAAAGAAACAAAACACATAAAGACAAATTCATCCACAGGGAATGAACAGGTTAGAAGGATTTCATAGAGCTACTGAAATTACAATGCAGGTACGTCACAATTACATTAAATAAATAGATAAAATATTAATTAATAATGCATTTTTCTTAATCCTTTTACTTCCTCTTTTACAGCTTAAGGTGTTGGGGTGACATTAAGTTTCTACCTCTTGCTCTTCGAGCCGTCTCAACCACAGACTCATTATACTGTATGAGCCGCATTAGCGCAGTTGATAAGAGGCTCGCTTTCAAATCCAGCTGCGACTCGCTGCAACCCACGGTCGGTGTTCGAAACCGGGCGGCTCCTGGGGCTCACCCAACCTCTAGGAAATGGGTACCAGAGTTGAAACTCTGGGGTAAATGGAGGAACGTCATTGTAGCAACAGAGTTACATGCGGACGGCAACACAGGCAGACAGTTCTTATCAACTGTCCTTACTGATGGCAGAGCACTTATAGTTTATAACCGTGTGCAATGATGATGGTTTACATCTCCCGACTTTACCTTTTTTTTTAATGCTATTGTAGAGTTTCGGTGTTATCTTTCCATAGAACCAATTCTAAATTGTATACAAATACATCGGATCAAATAGTAATTTTTTTAATGGTTTCTTGTGAGTGACCATGTCTGTTGCTGGCAGCACACTGGGAATGAATATACTTTGTATGAGATGTTTCTTCCTGCTGGTCAGGACTGTCTTATGCTGTAAAATGGTTTGACTGGTGGCGAGTAGCTATCCACGTACTTGGTTTGCGTAACTGCATCTTCGGCAAATGTCCACAGATATTTAACCTCAGATGCCTGTTTAACGCCTTTGCCCCCCTGCTGACATTACTTCTTTTCAGCGTAAAATTATTTAAAATTCTTTATTCACACTCACAGAAGTTAGATGCTGCTGCATGATGTTCAATGAAATCTTTTCTTATACTGTGTTTATTTTCCAGTAAGTTTTTATTTTCTGTTAATAAAGCCTGGTTATCAGCAAAGAGTAATGTGTTGATGTTAGCAAAATTGTCATTCCTTTCTTCTGCCAACTGTAATTCTATCACTGTTTTTAGCTTGTTTGTTTCTGTTACCTTGGCATAAATTTTGCCAAAATGACTTAAAAAGAGAGCTGCCTCAGTACTGACTACATTCTTACTTGCTTCCTTTGTTCTTCACAACAGCGTAACTATTGCACCTGCTACTTGAATTATTTATGTTTCTGTCAACGTTTGTGGCTAAGGCATTGAGAACACACGAGATCACGCTTTAAAATGCCGGGTGATCGGATTCCATCCCAGCTGTAAGCGATTTGGCAGCAAAATGTCTTGCGTTGGTTTCGACAGTGGTACTGAGATCTGATGGTTCAGAAAGCAATGGCAAACTGTTTGTTAGTTGCAAATCCAACCCCAGCATTTTTTGGCTGTTGTGATTTTCCTAGGCAAGTTTACGTCCAGTAGTTTGCCATCTTTTTCTTGATACCACTATCCAAACCAACCTAAGGCGCAAGGCCCGCAGCTGGGATCGAACCTGGCACCCCGGGATTATAAAGCGCGTTCGTAACCTTTAGGCCACAGAAGTCGACAAATGGCAAATGCAAGAGAATGTAAAAATCTTTTACCTATGAAATACCACAACAGCAAAAAAATGCTGGTGTTGGTTATGAAAGGCCTGTAAAGGATACGCAACTGACTTTTTTAAATCTATCAACTATCAGAGTGATAACTTATGTCCAATGTGTAGTTAGCTTTGTTCTGATGCATTAAAAAAATTCTTTTTGAGAAATCGAATTTGCCATTATCTTGTAACAATTCCGGGCAAGAAGCAGGAATAACCTGACACCATCTGAAATTATAAGCAAGATTTTATATTCCAGCAGGGTTGGGCAAGATATGAACTACCATCAGACATCATAACATTAGATGAACTGTATGTTTGTTAGACTCTGTAGCTCCAAACCATCCAACTATAAAGTTTATTGCTTTTCTATCTGTCCTTCCTAATCCTTGACTATTGTAATTCTACCTGCACTTAAATAGCCATCTTTAATGATGTGCTTGTTAAGGGGTAGTTGATCTATTCGTTTTCCCGCCAAAACTGTGGCCTCAGAACTTTTTATGAAAAATTATTCAAGAATTATGATGCAACAAATGAGATGATGATGCTGTCTCACCTACTAAACTACCATCCAGTGAGGTCACATCCACTTCTGCACCAATTAATCCAAACAAGAGAGGTTGAAACATCATCCAAAGTACGCCAACAACATCATCTACAGGGTTCTTAGAAATAAATGTATGGTTTACATATACTGGAAAATCTGGCTGGTTCAATTAGTATTATTAATGTGCTATGGGGACATGGAAGAAAGCTGTAGGAGATGGCAAGAAATAGAGGGCTTGGTGTCAATAAAAGATCTATACACCAATAGTGGACAAAGGGCAGTCAATGATGATGAAGACATGACTCAAGTTTATGAAGTGTCGGTTTCTATTAGAATTCAAAAACGAAATGCTATATCAGGGCAGACCAGGTCCTTAGCTTTGGCTGGTAGCTGGTCTAGGAGGGAAGGTCTGACACTTCTCTTCTGAAATAGCAGTTTCTGTTGCATGCTTCATTCCTAACACATTGGTGTTACCTTTTCTTTTTAGTTAACAAGGCAGGCTGAGGGATCATGGTCAAAGAGCAACACACAGCCTCTATGATAAGGTCCAGGCTTTGTGCTGTGGAAAGGAGGAACTTCATCCTTGGCCTTAAGTGGTCCCACAATGAGCTGTGATTCTCAAACCTCCCTATAGCAACATGGAACACTATCGTATGAAAATACAGAAATGTGCCAACAACAATAGTAAGTCAATGTGCAGCACTGTGGCTTATTCTTAGAGTTGTACCATAATAATTTCCATCGTAGTCGGTTTCAATCGCTTTCAAACATGAATGAATGAATCAATCAAGAATTTACAACACTGCACTTGCTCCAGCTTTTTCCTCAGTAACTATCTAGGGGTTGAGCTGAGTCAAGAATTGACATCATAGCTTTCCCATGCATGCTCCATCCTCATCTACAGCAGCCAGAGCAGAGTTCCAATACTGATGATACCGGTCACAATCTGGTTATATGTCCATCTTGCATTTCCTCTGAGTGTATCTAGGAGTCCACATGCTAACAGTACCCGTTGCAAACCGATTAACAGTCTGCCGTCAGCATTTGTGGTTCAGGCATTTAAACGCCCTTCATAATGCTGGGGAGTTCAATCACAGCTGCCAACGGTTAGTCTTGCGTTGGTTTTGACAGCTGACCATTCAGGAAGCAGTAGCAAACTACTGAAAGTAAAATTTGCCTAGAGAAACCACAACAATAAAAAAATGCTGCGGTTGGTTCTGCAATGTCCTGTAAAGGATATGAAACTAACTTTTAAATGTGGTAATTGAATATGTGTTAACATGCTACTTTGATATGAAAATAAACTGAAATAATAATAATTTATTGCTTATACAAATTTACTAAACTACATATAAGAAACCATTTATTTTTCAGATTAAATGCAATCCATTAATCTACTGAGTAAAAAAAAAAAAAGGATGAAAGTCTATTGTGAATAAATTTTGTGTGTGTTTGTGCTGTGTTGGATCCACAGAAGCTGACGGGTTTGCTAAAGATTTAGATTCCTTGACAATAAAAACATAACTCTGGAATTTGCACTCATCGTCTACTCATTAATTCAATAGTTATTCACAGAACTCTGAGTTTACATTGAGCAAATTACATGCTTTTTTTTTTAAATATCCAGAAACCATGAGTTGTTAACTCTTTGGCTCCGTACTATGGATAATCGCAAATCTTCAGCCTTGATTCCATAAGAGATAACATAAATCTAGGAGAAATGTGGCTTTTCTGCCTATGCCTGCATGTGAACCCGGACCAGAAGGAGGTCATCACCCGGTCGCCGCGCAGTCAGGTCCTAACAAGCCGGGCATTACACGCTTTAAAAGCAAACGCCCAGTAATTGTTGCTATCATTTGAATTTCACTTGCAAAGGAATTAAACGGGCTTCCTAATGATGCACTACCAAATCCTTATAAGTAGCCCCAAAACTGAGCAATGGCTAATGCTAAATTATGAAAAACATCTGACACCACTTCCCTTACCTCCTCCATGCCAGGGCGTCTTATACCCTAGCTACACCCCTGCTTACAATCCTTGGCAACAACACTAGCCATGTGACCCTAAATGCTCAGGCTCAAAGAACCCCTCACCCCCTCCCCCATGCAAGCGATAAGTTCATACCTGTTCGCCACTCTTTAACTCCGCTCTCCACCTCAAAGCAGCAATAAAAGGTAAAGTAAGGGAAGCCAGTGGGCCTGCTCCTGCCCAGTTGAGTTTGTTACTTCCAAAGAGGAACATCAGACTCAGAACCATGAGCAAGGTTGATCGGAACAACAAGTGATTTTTCTGGAAAGCAAAGTTTGTGGTTATTTACTAATGGTGTGAACAGATATGTGTGGGCATTTAGTATCGATGTGGGGAAATGTGTATGGTCATTTAATAATGATGTGAAATGATATGTCTTGTCATTTAATAATGATGTGAAATGATATGTCTTGTCATTTAATAATGATGTGAAATGATATGTCTTGTCATTTAATAATGATGTGAAATGATATGTCTTGTCATTTAATAATGATGTGAAATGATATGTCTGGTCATTTAATAATGATGTGAAATGATATGTCTTGTCATTTAATAATGATGTGAAATTATGTCTTGTCATTTAATAATGATGTGAAATGATATGTCTGGTCATTTAATAATGTTGTGAAATGATATGTCTTGTCATTTAATAATGATGTGAAATTATATGTCTTGTCATTTAATAATGATGTGAAATGATATGTCTTGTCATTTAATAATATTGTGAAATGATATGTCTTGTCATTTAATAATGTTGTGAAATGATATGTCTTGTCATTTAATAATGTTGTGAAATGATATGTCTGGTCATTTAATAATGATGTGAAATGATATGTCTGGTCATTTAATAATGATGTGAAGGAATATGTCTTGTCATTTAATAATGATGTGAAATGATATGTCTTGTCATTTAATAATATTGTGAAATGATATGTCTTGTCATTTAATAATGTTGTGAAATGATATGTCTTGTCATTTAATAATGTTGTGAAATGATATGTCTGGTCATTTAATAATGATGTGAAATGATATGTCTGGTCATTTAATAATGTTGTGAAGGAATATGTAAATGGTCATTTGTTAATGATGTGAAAGAATTTGTGGTCATTTACTAATCAAGTAAAAGGATGGGTTCAGGCATTTATTAAAGATGTGGAAGAAAGTGTGTGCGATTAATCATGTGAAAGAATGTGTGTGCGATTAATCATGTGAAAGAATGTATGTGCGATTAACCATGTGAAAGAATGTGTGTGCGATTAATCCTGTGTAAGAATATGTGTGCGATTAATCATGTGAAAGAATGAGTGTGTGATTAATCATGTGAAAGAATGTGTGTGCAATTAATCATGTGAAAGAATCTGTGCAATCATTTATTAATTTTAAAGGATGTGTGCTGTAATTTATTTATGTGGAGATCGATCATTTACTAAAGCTGTGAAAGAATGTCAGGCCATTCATTATTCAAATGATATGTTGTGTATGATCGTGCATTAAGCATGTAAAAGGCAAGAAAGAATATGCCCGATCATTTATTAATGGTGTGAAAGGATATGTGGTCATACAAAAAGTGTGAAGGAATGTGAAATTTATAAACTATATGAAAGGAAGGCTATGTGTGCGGTAATTAGTCACTGATATTAAATGATTATGGTAATTTTATCTGTTATGCTGAAGAATGTAGTTCTCACCCACCATACTTGGATAGTAAATTAGATAGGAGCATTTATGTAGAGACTGAAGCACTCATGAGAGTATCCATATTTGGAGACTGGAGCACTTATGCCAGCGTCTATGTGGAGAACAAAGCACTTATTGGAGCATTTATGTGACTGACTGATGTTCAACCCAACCAGGACCGCACAACGAGCGATAAACACCCGGTAACACTAAGTGCCATAATTTGGATGAGAAGCACCCGGGTACAAGTCCCAGAAATTCTATTCAACTGTTGGGTTATATTGGGACCTCTGACTGCACCCGGGGTGAGGCTTTAAAATAACTAACAATTGCATCCCGTATTGGGGCGAGGTTGAAAAGTGCCCATGTGAAGGATCTGGGGTGTTTAAGGGAGCATCTATGTGAAGGATTTGGGGTATTTAAGGGAGCATCTATGTGAAGGTTCTTGGGTATTTAAGGGAGCATCCATGTGAAGGATCTAGGGGTACTTATGGTAGCATCTATGTGAAGAATCTGGGGTACTTAAGGGAGCATCCATATGAAGGGGCCAGATTAAACTACATGGAATATCTATGGGAGGGCACTGTAGTACATATGGAAGCATCTATATAGAATTACTGTAGTACCAATGACAGCATACACATTAGGAGCACAGCGTAAAAATGGGAGCATCCTTATGACAAGAACTGCACTTATTAGGAGTAACCAAGTGCCATTTAAACAATTCTTCATTAACCAAACAAAACAAAATACAAACTCCATCCAAACAACTTACGCTAGACCTCTGAGGTATATACCACATGAGGATTCCACCAACAACACCACATGCCACTCCCGCAAGTGCCTCCAAAGGGCCCTTGAACAAGGTCCACACAATGTTTCCTTTAAAACCAGTAAAGAAATGTACATGCATGTAATGCATAAGAGTACTTAATACTACTTTGCTACAAATAGTAGTCTATTTAACAGACGCAGAGGTATCCACAGCAAAAGTACTCAGCCGTGCAAATGGGTCGACCCCGGACAACTGGTCAAGTTATGGTAATGTGGTCAATCTATGGCACAGTGGCAAGCTATGGCACAGTGGTCAATCCATTCCAGTGGTCAAGCTATAACACAGTGGTCAAGCAATGGCAAAGTGGTCAAGCTATGGAACAGTGGTCAAACTATGGCACAAAGGTCAGGCCATTCCAGTGGTCAAGCTATGGCACAGTGGTCAAGATAGCACAGTGGTCAAGCTATGGCACAGTGGTCAATCTATGGCACAGTGGTCAATCTATGGTACAGTGGTCAATCTATGGCTTCTGACTTCTCATCAGATTCAAAATGTACATTCATTTCTCTTTAAAAAATATATATTTACTTTTATAGGGATTAGAAGTATTTTACATTCTCTATTGCCCTTCTTGTACACCACCCTCTCTGCCATCTTTGTAAAGGCAAATTAATGTGGGCCAAGTGTCCAAATTCTTGGGCCTGAAAGAGTAAACTAATCTCCAGTAGAACATATGTAACACTAATAAAACATATCATAATTTCATGTCAAACAAAACACATCTCTACCCCATATCCCTTAGAACCTATCTAAGCTGATACGAAACAGGATGTTCAGTAGAACCTTAATTCCTAAAGAACATATTATACATAAAGAAAAACTTATTCCCAGTGGAACATTAACCTCATTTTTCCCAAAGTATATATCTAAGAAAATAGTAAGTATAGAACTTGTTTCCACACCTTCAGGTGATCTAGGCATAAAGAGCTTGATTTATGTTTTACAGACCAACTGGCACTCAGTGGGTGACGTGGTCAATATAATGCCAGCCACCTTTACTTCCCAGAACTTTTATCAGGTTCCCTTTTAAGGCAGCGTGGACCTGGCAGCTAAGGTAATTTATTTTAAAGCCTGACTTCGTCAGGACCCTAAACCAACGATCTTGGGATCCATAGGCGAGTATCTAGCCGCTACACCACGGCAGCACCTAAAGAACATATCTAATATGATGAAAAACTTATGTCCAGTAAAACATTTATAACACCATGAAAAAAGTAATGAGTCTTGCCAACAGAAGAGAATATGAGCTGAGTTGAGATTAGTTCAGAACTGACATCACAGTACTTTCCCACAACTGCTCTGTCCCCCTATTCAGCAGCCAATGCAGATGTTTCCAGTAACAGTCTGATTGTATGTCCATCTTGCCTTTCTTCTGAATGTAGAGTGCTGGCCTGAACCCCTGGCCACTAACCGCTGCTCCATTCTCCGGGCCATAATGATCTATTTGCGCTTCTGCACTATTCATTTTCTCTTAAAGAACCTTGATTTCATCTAGCTTATCATTCATCAATTCACCACCAAGTGTTGCAGAAATAGCCAATCTGTCTGCCCATTCATTTCCCAATATAACTGTCTACTTCAGACAAAATATTCAGGGGATGCTAACTACCCGAGACTTTTCAACTGATGCTTGCCCCTCTGCACAGAGTATGCCTTTCTCCACAACTGAACATATCTAATCTTATGAAAAAATGACAACATATAAAGTGAATACAGCATATCTAACCTGAAGATGGTATCAAGCACGGTTAGAAATTTTAACTTTTCACTTGCTGCTGAAGATGGGGACAGAGCGCTTAAGGGGGTATCCCAAATGATGTGATGTCGATTCTTAATTCAACATATCTAACCTGATGAAAAACTGATGCCCAGCAGAACACCAAACCCTGTAATAGCCAACACATCATCAACACTGGCCGCTGCTATAATAAGAGTGGGTATTCCCTTGTCAATACCGAAGCCTCGGTCAGACAGACCTAGAAGAGACGGCACAACAACAGCTGGTGAGACTGCTGCTATCACAAACCTGGAAAGTGGAAATATAAAATCAGATAAGGCATTTGTAACATTCTTGGTAATGATATAAACTATCTTCAACATCATTAAGTACTTTGCCAAATGGCACGAGGGATCATGTCTTTCAACAAGATGTATGTGATTATCAAAGCCTTTTACACCGCAATACTGTGTAAGGTCAACAGAGTTTGTATATTACCCCAAGCTCTCCCCTCCTCCTAAAAGAAAATTTGACTTCCTCTTGTCAGTGCTATGCAACTGCAAAAAGAAAACAGGCAAACTGAAGAGAAAGCCATAAAATAAACTAACAAGTTTCCAAGTAAACAGGCAAAATGAAAGGAAAGCCATAAAATAAATAAACCACAAGCTCTCCCCTCCTCTTAAAAGAAAATTTGACTACTCATATTGTTGCTATGCAACTGCAAAAGAAAAACAGACAAAGTGAAGAGAAAGCCGTAAATAAAGGGAAAGCTATCAAATAAACTAAAATATTTTTAAGTAAACAGGCAAAATGAAGAGAAAACCATAAAATAAATGAATAAATTTCAAAGTAAACCGGCAAACTGAAGGGAAAGATATAAAATAAATTAACATCCCCCCCCCCCCTCCTCCCAAAAGGCAAAGCAAAGAGAAAGCCATAAAGTTTGTTTGTTTTAGTATCCAGAAGCCATGAGTTGCTTATCCTTAGGCTCGGTATTATGGATATCGCAACCTTTCGGCCTTGATTCCATTTTAAATACCGTAAATCTGGGATAAATGTGGCTTTTCTGCCTAGCCCCGGGAGTGAACCCGGACCAGAAGGAGTTTGTCACCTGCTCACCGTGCAGCCCGGTTTAGCCAACTACGCTAGAGAACCGGGCAAAGCCATAAAGTAAACTAACCTATTTCAAAGTAAACTAGCAAAAATTTTTAAGCCAACCGGCAAATTAAAAGGAAGCCATAAAATAAACTAACACATTTCAAAGTAAACAGTCAATTTGAAAAGAAAGCTATCAAACAGACTGATTATTTTAAAGTGAAGGGGCAAACTAAAAGCAAAGCTACAAAAAAAAAACAATATATTACAAAATCAATGGGCAAACTGAAGGGGAAGCCATAAAATAAACAAATATATTTTCCTTACCCCAGCATAAACGCCCAAGGCCAGGGGAAGCCCAGGATCAGATGACAAGCAATGCCATCCACCAAAGTTTCTGCCAGACACGGAAGAAATGCCAGCCTCAACACAACAAACGATAAGCGGCGCAGAGCTTGAGGGTCCAAACCTAAACCTGCACGAGTCAGGATGATGGTCAGAGCTATCTGTCTGTAAAACAAGTAACCAAATTTAACTGTGTGCCATCTTCACAAGATAGGGTGGCTGCTGTCTTTGGGGAATAATATGTGAGTCCTTAATCTCTTTCATGGTATATCAAAAAAATAATAATAATAATAATCTGTCCACCATGGAAATTGAACCCCAGTTTGTCAGAAAGTATGAAAGACATTCACTAACTTGTGAGCCACAGAGATGCACATAAACAAGTAACAGAAACATCAAGTGTGTTCATGTTCACAACTTCAGTTCAAAATTTAACCAGTTCAAATGGCTGATGAACTGTCTTGAGTCTATGTTGTCAATATCAAGTCTATGATTTCCAGAATTCTGTGTCATTTCCAAGGTACTAATTTTAGTGCCTCCCAAAAATAGACCCACAGTTCTAACATCCATGCTGTAAGAGGCAACTCATGAGAGATTTACTAACGTGTAGGGCTAAAAGGCGCAGATATAGCAGCCTATCTGTAAACCACAACACTATGTGCCAACTGAGGATGAACAAAGAAGAAAGAAGATTGGCAAAACATTCTTTAGCAACCAATTTATGCTGGGTTTGTCTGTGACCCATCCTGAAGGAGATGTGAACACATAACCACAAGCCCAGTGCGCTATCCACTGCACATTGTGGCTACCATGTTATCATTGTCTAATTGTATGCTGATGAAAGCTTTCTAGCTGCAATGTTCATGTTGTCTTGTGTGTTTGCGAAGCTGGCTACTTCTTCCCTTGTCTGGATTGACAAATCATGTTAAAAAACATTATGGCTAAAAAAACACGTTTCAGTCTGTGGTGTAACTGACTATCTGATGTAAAATGGAGCTGCCATGGTGTAGCCACTGGATGCTCGCCTGCAGTCAGAAGGTCATGAGTTCAGAGCCGAATGAAGGAAGACTTTTTTTTTTAATAACCTTTACTCCAAGCCTTAAATGGGTACCAGGTAAAGTCCTGGAAAGTAAAGGTGGCTGGATCTAAGGAGAGAATAATAGACCCATTGCCCCCCCCCCCCCAACAAAAATGTCATAAAAGGGGACTTAATAGGGGTATGTCCTTTAAAGTTAGAGTGCAACAGCCTGGGAGACGAGGAACCAACAGTCAGTCTGCATACAAATAAGCCAGATATGTAAAACTGCAAGCAAAACTCAAGTTCTGGAAGAAGACCAAAGTCAAGAAGTAGACAAACAACCAGAACTTTCTATTGGAGTTTACAGCCAGTGAATGTAAGAAGAAAACAAAATGCCAAAAAGGGTTCACAGTCTATTTCTCCATTCTCCATTTGATTCTATCCCGAGTGATCCTTTAGATTTTAGAAAAGATGGATGGAATCCAGGCCAACAACTTAGGCCTCTCTTGTCAACATAGTTTACACAGATGGATCATTCATTCAAGGAGAGTGAAGTGCATGGGCATTCACAGTAAGGTCAAGGAGAAGATCATTAAGGAGATGAATGGTGCCTTTGCGTTTATAACCAACAGCCTTTCAATGGAAACTATGGCTGTAACAAGGGCATTAGCGTGGCTTGGTACTCAAGAGTTCACATATACATGTACATACTTAGTGACTCGATGAATATGCTTTAAAAAATTCAGGCTGGTTTTATCAGACATTAATGGATTGCACCATTTAGTACTTTCCGATTGGCTGCCCTAACCTTCATTATTGTGCTAGGTCATGCAGGTGTTCAAGGTAACGAGCATGCAGATCATCTTGCTGACACTGCAGTTGCTATGGCTGGTCCAGTACTGGACAGAAGTGATGTTATCAATGCCATGTGCTGCACTTACAGTACTGAGCAGAACGCCAAAGGACATGACTCCTTATCCCTCTCTAGGCTGATGGACATGGGGGTGCAGCCTGGAGCTGCGAGAAATGAACATTTCGCTAAGAGGACTAGACGTTTCATTAATCAACACAAAACATGCGTCATTAGTCATTTTACACTTATGGAGCTATTGAGGAGGAGATCGGAGCACCTATGAATCTGTCCGGAGTGCTGTGATGATAATCCTTTCTAATCACTTGTCAATGGTCACTGTAGGATGTAACTTGACATGTTATTTCCTCGATCCATCACTGTTTTCCATTTTAGTACCTGTCTGGTGATTCACTACTCCTTTCTCAGGAATCAGGCTGTGCCAAATACAGCACCATCTTCTTATAAGTATTGATACCAGCTGCAGATCTTTCCACATCGATCTGTCCTTGTTACCTTTCTTGAATTCATCCCAATTAATGTTCCTCAATTTAAAATGTATGGAGGGGCAGCTAGCTGAACGTTTAAAAACGTTGGGCTCTCATGCGAGTCATTTGAGTTAGAACCTTGAGTGAGTTTTTCTGTCGGGGGTGAAAATAAAATCCTAATTTGCACAGTCACAGCAACATCACTAGCCATGCGACCCTACATCCTCAGGCTCAAAGACCCCTCTGCCTATACTATAAAAGTGGTTAACACAAACAGTAATGGCAGTGTTTTTGTCTGTAGGCAGTTATGATATATATATGACAGACTAGATCACAAACAGACCAAAGTAAGCAGGACTGAGGTGTCATCCATCTAGAGATAGATGGTAGGCAGGCAGACAAGTGTATTCAGAGAAAAGATAACTTTTATTTACCTCAAGCTAGAAGACCATGAGGGATCAATATCTTTGGCAACAGCAATGTATGGGACATTACCTAATGCACCTCCCACCAACAACATACCTGCAGCAAGAAATAAAAATAACTCATAAACGGTTGAAGGAAAAAGCATTTTTGAATTTATTCTGCATTTTAAATGATGCCATCGCTACCCACAGGTGACCTGATTTCATCCCATAGATCACACAAGGGGAATCTGAGCTCAGTGCACAAACTTCCTAGCATCAACAACGATCAAAATTTTTAAATCAATAATCAAAAAATGCAGTAATCAATTTTCAACAATCACAGTAATTATTATTGTGCAATAATAATAATCTTAAAGCAGATAATATACATTGTTTCTTAAACACATTTGTTTTGTATACTTTTATCAATTTTCTAAACCTTTCTTCCTAATACTGCTCCATTTGCTTAAGACTTTTTTTCAAAATACATCTTTTTCTTCAGCATTCTGAGCCATGATATCTGCTACAGATATCATTCACCTCCGTTCACCCCTGACTGGTTGGTGAATCTAGGTATTTGAAGGTCTGCCTGAATATTATCTCTCCTCGATCCTGTTGGTCTGCCTCGTGGTCAACTTTCATTTAACTCCTTTGTGCATACAGTTGTTGTCTGTTATCTAACAATTTGTCTATATGCCCCAACCACTGCAGTCTATAGCCTTCATGATGCCAGTAATTAATGGTGATTTAAATAAGTTTTAAACATTGTTTTTGCTTCTCACTTTAAACTCTCCGCTGTCTGCATCTCTGATGGGTCTGAAGATTTGTCTCAAGTCTTCTCAAAAGTCTGAAATCAGTCTTTATCTGTTTTAGTTGTACTGCAGGTTTCAGAACCATACAGGACAACTGGTCCTATCAGTGTAATTTTAAAATACATAAGATGATAACTCAAGTGACTTAAATTTATCATAATGAATTTCAACATCTAGAACTTACCAAGCAGCGGGGGTAAACGTACCAACCCCACTAGATAACCACCACACCAGCAAGCTACAAAAAGAACCAGGAGGGAAAAAAGATTTCCACCGGGCAAAGCTTCTTTATCTGTCATAGAATACAGAGCTGTCCACGCAGATGCAGAGAAGCAAATAATGAATATGACTGCTGCCATACGAGAGTGTGGAGGACAGAGAAAATTGTCCCAGAACTTGCGACAGCAGCCTGCATTGTATGGAAGTGGGTGAGACTTTGCCAGGCATGGTCGTGTACATGACTGGAAACAAATCTTCAGCCGTGAGCAAACGCGGCTCTCCTCTTCCTCCCGGGCAGACGCAATTATTCCAATATGCAATAGTGAAGAATGGGTCCCATTAACTTCCTGATGATCAAAATCTCGCTCTGTCGTTTGCCTGGGATCCATTGCAACACAAGGCATCAGTCAGAGACTGTGGAAATAAGATAAGGAGATTAATATTTCATTACCTACTGACATTTAATAAAATTCTTCACAGACAATAAACTTGAAAAAAAAAAACTCATTATGTTGCAAATCACTTTTTCTGAACATCTTCTTCTTCTTAGCATTCTTCTTTTTCTTTTTCTCTTCCACCTTGTACTTTAGTGAAGTGTCGGGGGTTTTGTTTGTGTTGTTTTAGTATCAAGAAGACATGCGTAAGTGTCGGGGGTAGATGTAACATTCGCTGATGAGCTCGGTCAAGAGCACTATTAAGACTGATGTTCATTTCTGTAAAGCTGTTCTTAATACCATCACTCAATATTTTCCAAGGTCTTGCACTCGCTCTAATCCTGTTGTAATGTTTTAGTGTGGCTTACTGTGGCAGAGCATTCACTGGCTGTAAACTTCAGGGGAAATTTCTGATTGCTTGTCCACTTCTGAACCTTGGTCTTGTTCCAGAACTTGAGTTGTGCATGCACATCCTTTTACAGATATGGCTTGGCTTATCATTATGCAAACTTTTGGTCCCTTGTCTCTCAGGCAAATGATTTTCTTCTTCTTTTTCTTCGCGTTCACCAGCTGTACACTCTGGCGTAAAGTTGTGGTTGTTCATCCACTTCTGGACTGCAGTCCTGCTCCAGAACCTGAGTTTTGCGTGTGCATCAGTTTTACAGATCTGATTCAATTGAATGTAGACTGCTGGTTCCTTGCCTCTCAGGCAGATGCACTCCGACTTCAAAGGAAGCTCCCCAGGAAGTCGACTCTTACGACATGCTTTTGGGGAGGCAGTGGGTCTATTCTTGTTTTCCCCACAATAGGGCCCCGGAACCCACACGGGGGAGCAAATGATTTTGAAGTAAGCATCTCTAATTAATCACCTTCAATGACCTGCATGTTAGGGGAGGCAGTAACTTTTGTCCTACTGCTTCTGCTGTGAAGCATGACAGAGGAGTTACATGAAGTGTTTTTGTTTGGTCTTCTTTTAGTTGTGCAGCTTGTGTTAACATTGTATTGTGTTCCTTGGTGTCTTCTTTACTGCCTCCACCCATTTATTTCTTGGTAGGCATCTTGCCTTGTAGCTTGCTGTTCTCACCTCATAAGCTCTGCTAGCTGATTGTATTCCATTCTGACTTGATGACCAAACCATTAGATTCTCTGATGTTCTATGAAATCATTTACCAGTACTGTGTCTATTGTTGTTTTAAATGCCATGGACTGTGTTGTGTAGAAAGGGCATATCAGGAAGGGAATAAGACTGAAGAAAGAAATGATTGCAGAAAGGATGAGAGCTGAGCATCTGAAAAGAAACGGATTAAACACAAATGTTGTTAACAATGGTCCTGAAATCCCATGCTATTATTGTGGAAGACTTTTCTTGACACGGGCGGGTCTTGCTAGTCACACTCGCCATTGCCATGGACTATGAGTCTCATGACTCCTCATAGCGCAATTTAACACAATCATCTGGAAAGACGGAAAGGTGCCAATGAAATCAATGTCTATTGTTCTTAGTGTGAAGTAAATTAATAACTTTATCCACTCGATAGTGAGCCTTTAATCTAAATACTTGTTTATATGGTCATATTTTCTCATTATCTCAGAAAGACCATTGTAAGATTTTCTCTCCTCTTGTCAAAGCCTGATGAAAACCCTAGACAGTTTCCTGGTCATGTATTTTCCCGGCCAGGGTTTCCTAAACGGCCTGCAGATTGTATCACATTGGTTAATCCGTGCTTTGCCTATCAAGGACCATGCTTCCAAATTCATTATTATTATTCTGACTAAACTAAAGTTGTTCTTCATTTCCTAATGAAGCTGTTGATAAGCCAGTATTCTTTGCTGTTCAAATCTCTTAGAAAATTTGTATTTTTTCTTCTTGATCCAGTGAAATGTCTTCTAATTCTTCTTCTTCGCTTTCTCTTGTACTTCTGTCTCAGGGGGATATTATGTTTTGGTTCTTGCTCTCCTGTTCACCATACATAGTGTGTTGTTGTAGAGTTTATTTGATGTCCTCTTTCTAGTTTTGTTTATGTCTTGTAAGGAATGGTATCACAAGGCATTTTTCTCTAAGCAGGCAAACCATTTTATCTGCTGCTACTTATGTTGTTTATACTGATTGTGTGCTATGACTTTTTCTTTTATTACTTCATTACTGATTTTATCTGTTCTTGTCACTCCTGCAGTCCTTCCAAAAATTGTCTGGTTTGTTGTGACCATGAGTATGTCTGTTAATTAGGCTGGAATACTTCTTGTGCCCCTGTTCAGTTATAACTTAACCCTTTATGTGTCCCTGTTCAGTTATAACTTAACCCTTTATGCGTACCTGTTCAGTTTTAACAACCCTTTATATGTCCCTGTTCAGTTATAACTTAACCCTTTATGTGTCCCTGCTCAGTTATAAGTTAACCCTTTATGTGTCCCTGCTCAGCTATAAGTTAACCCTTTATGTGTCCCTGCTCAGTTATAACTTAACCCGTTATGTGTCCCTGTTCAGTTATAACAACCCTTTATGTGTCCCTGTTCAGTTATATTTGTATTTTTTCTAAAAACATATAAATATATATTTTAAGTATTAAATTTAGTATTCAATACAATCAGAAATGTGAAACTAACCACAGAAGAATGCTTACAATACCTTGGACAGCCAAAAAGAGCAACCAAGAGGTTTTGAAAGAGGCAGGAGCCCGAAGACAACTTATCACAGACATCAGAAGGAGACAGTCATCATTTTTCGGCCATGTTATGAGAAGAGGGAGAATAGAACATGTTATGACCACTGGAAAGATCTGTGGAAAATGGAATAGAGGAAGACAACGAGAGAAGATGCTTGACAGTCTTGTTGCATGGCATGGAGGTGTGTCGGCACAAGAACTGATACATGCTGCAGGAGACCGCAGATTATGGAGAGGCATCTTGCCCACGCCAGTCGGCAAGGCACCTGATAATGATGATGATGTTCAATTATAACTTAACCATTTATGTGTCTCAGTTCAGTTATAACTTAACCCTTTAAGTGTCTCTGTTCAGTTATATTTTAATCCAATTCTTTTCACTCCAAACCTCGCTGGTCGATATATTTTCCTAACAGGCCGATAATTTAAATTTCAACAAAATGAAGTGTAATGTTGATGATGTTACCCCACTGAATTCAAATTCTTTTTCTTTAGGTGGGAGGGGTGGGTGGTCTGGTAATAGCAATAACAATAATTAATCATGAATCATATTATTATGTGAGCAATTTTGTAACAAGTTAGTTTTTCCTATCTTGGACATGTAAGAGTTAACTAAAATTCGTTGGTTCAAACCAGCATCGATCCTAATTTTCTTTTTTAAAACATCTTGGCCCCTAGATCGACCAAGACTTAAATGGGTACCAGGTCTGAGGTAAAATCCTGGGAAGTAAAGGTGGCCATCATGCTGCTGACCGCATCCCCCACCTTGTGGTCTAGTATATACCCAATACACCTAATATTTTAAATTATTAATTTTGAATAAACGTAAACATAAATTTTTTTTTTTTTTTTTACTTTTTAAACACACTGCTGAGCTGTGTGCTGGTACCGGTGGGTAGGTAAGTTGAACCCCACTAGCCTCTATCTAGGACAACATCACACAAGCAATAAACTGGTGACACAAAGTGCTATCATGTTGATGAGGATCTCACCCATGGAGAGGTCCCGGAACCCCGTTCAGCCGTTAGGCCATATTTATATATATATTAAGGGCCGCCGGCAAAAGCCAGAGTGGGGCTTCAAAATAACGAAAAACTGCATCCCACAAAGGGACGATTTTCCAATGCCTGAATGCCGTAGGCGTAGGTACAGAGTTACAGACAGCGACACAACACAGAATTAGCAAACACTGCCACTAAAGATCCAAAAATACACTGAAACAGAAAAACTGACACAAGTTTTAAAAGAAAAGTACATAAGTACCATAAACATATAATATTTAGTATTCAATACAATCAGAAATGTGAAACTAACCACACACTAATTATAAACACGAGCAGACGAGCTCGGAAAGGGAAGTAAGTAATACTGTAAAACGTTAAAAGGCGGGATAATTTATTACGGAACAAAAATATGAATTAAATAAGTGGATCGACGGCACTTTCTTCTTCATATTTATAATGATATACTGTGGGCAATTTTGTAACAAGTTTTTCCTATCTTGGAAATGTAAGAGTTAACTATTTCCACCTGATAAATCTACATTTACTCTTGTGCCGCTTCGGATGTCGATGGAGATAAAAGATTCTACTTCTTGCTATTGTTGTCGCCTCGACCATAGACACGACTGACACTGATAGCTTCGGTGGAAATAAACATGCTTTGTATTCGGATGTTTCTTTCTGCTGATTGATCTGTAATGTGGGTGCGCGGGGGCGGGGTGTGGAGCTCTTGGTCCCTCGTGTCTCAGGCAAATAATTTCCGACTTCGAAGGACACATCCCTAATTATTCAAGTTTTCACGACATGTTTGTTAAAGGGGCAATAGGACCATCGACCTACGCGGGGATTAAACTGTTCTAAATTATTTTTATTTTGTTTTTTTGACATTAAGTACACGTGTTTGCTGTTATGGTGAAATATAGCTATGTTTAAGAATTGCACTTCTTACTCAAACGATGCAGCCAGTGACCGTAGACATTTGAAGCTCGAGATCAACGGCTTAACCGCTTGGTTACTGTGACTCCCAATATGTCTCTGTGCTCTTGACAAGCTGGGGGTAGATGACAACCGACACCACAGCACATGGGGAATTCTATGACCTCTTTCAATCCCAGGAGATCACAGACGATACCCGTTTGCAACAGTAATAATAAAATTGAAGGTATACTAAATCCTCAGGCGGGCGGAGGGGGAGGGGTGGCTATACGCTCAGCTTCCGATCGAAATGTCGTGGGTTCAAGTCCTTACAGCACTGTAGTTTTTACTTTTTATTTCTTCAAAAAATGACCTT